AGATGGTAGGAAACTCCCAAGTCTAACATGCTTATCTTTCAATGAATGCCACAAATCAAGCTAAGGACAAACCTGTAAAAAACTGAAGTTGTGAAATCCAAGAGATGGGCGCTCTGCCTTAGGTCCCAGGAGAAGCTGACAGGCTCGCATGCAGGCTGGCCCTTTTAAAGCAAAATGAAACACATGAAGCCTCTTTTCCTTTCCAAGTCTTTCACCTTGCAGAAATAAGGGCAGCCAGATAGGCATCTGAACCGCCCCCCCAGACACACACACTCCCACCCCACCCCCCAAAAAATAAAACAAGTTTTCTGTAGTGACCCCTCTTAGGGAAGGGGTCATTTGTTCATTTGGAAAACGAACAAAAAAGGTTTTATCTACAACGTGGGCTTAATACGCAGCGACCAGACAATAACAATTCCCCACTTTAGCATCCGGGGTGGGGCCAGCCCTTGCTGCCTGCTAAGAAGTCGCAAGGGTGTGACGTGAACCCAGTCGGCCTCATTCCCCACAGTGCCGTGCGCTGCACAGCAATATCGCGCGAGGTTTCCACAGCCAATGAGCAGGGCGTGGCAGCACGTGCAGGCTTAGCAACATAGGACAGGCGAAGTTGGGCCTCACCGCGAGGGTCTAGCCTGCAAAGGGCTCTTTCAGCAGAACACAACCGTTGGCCGGCTGGGAGAGGGGCGGTACCCTTATGGGACTGAGCGTTGGCCATCCTGAAAGCCTCTGGAGAAATGGCTGAGTGCCTGGGTACTGGCCATGTCCTCTGGGCCAGGTGAGAATTTACAATCAGCCCTTAGGCACGTGTCCTTTGGCAGCTGATTATGCGATTAAGGAATTCAAAGATTCCCCTCCATCAGGTTTTCTTCTCCCCTACCCACTGCAGCACCAAGCCACCCTGGTAACAGATTGGTCTAATTGGTGTGGCACTGAGGAGGAAATTGAGACCCCAGAGCTTTGAACAGAGAAGAGAAAAGGAGGAGAAACGGTTAGACCTGGTAGTAGATTAGAGCTGGCCACAGCTTGTGGAAAAACCTGCAGTCACCAAGGCAGCAAGGGGCCCAAGAGAATCCCTGGAAGCATCTCAGCAGAATCCAGAGGGTACTTGAAAGGAAGAGGGGTGATGAGCCTGCTGGGTCCTTACCCTCTCTCTGGTCCAAGTTTGATTGAGTGGTATGAGCTCCCCTACCTTCCAGACCTTGGCTAAGAATGCCAATACCAAAGGCATGGTCTGGTAGAGTCTACATAGAAACCCAGCCCTCCCTTTGGGAGATAAACTGGACAAATGGTTAGGCCTTGATGGCAGCCCTGGGGAAAGCATATTACCCTCACATGAGCTTCTAAGTAAGCAGCTGCAGGCCTACCAGTAGCATTCAGGAACCAATCCCTATCCCAGCTTTAACCAGAGGAGCTATAGTATTACTGGACTTTTATAACTGCTGGATAAATGTCAGGTGGACACTTGATCCTGTGAGTAAATAGGTTGGAAAAGCTCTACCATCATTCAACCCCTTTTAGAGGAGGAATGGGGAGCCAGAACGGACAGTAACTTCTCCTTACAAGCTGGGAAATTGGTTTTGCTGGACCCAACAGTGGCCTCGGTTGGGACTAGCATAGGGCAAGTTACTGAATTAAAAAGCAGGCCCAGCAACATCCTGGTTCATATGCTGAATGGGATGTGCCTTGCCAGGTCCGCCCCTCTGCGCAGTCCATGTCTTGCTAAGTAGAGTGTATACCTCCAGCAGTATCAGGAACTGACAGTCTGAAGGTATGTTCAAGGTGCTCTGCCTCCTGTGGCCAAGCTGGCTGTAGCAACTTCTCCAAGAACCTAGGGCAACATATTTCCTAGGAAGCCTCAGAGATTCCATTTCTGAGCAAGGCCAGAACCCTCCAGTGGAATTCTTAGAATGCTTGGTGGCTATCAATGAGTCCCTTACAACCTGGCTCAACTATAGAATGACCTTCCAACAGGGGCATATAGTCAGTAAAGGCAGCACAGGCTAGCTACACAGGCCAACCCCTAAATTCTGTGTGTATTGCAAACGTTTGGAGTTTTATCAAGCTTGACTTATTGGTCCTTAGAGCTGTGGACTCTGGTCTAATGCTGCTTGAACCCTGCATCTTGAAAGTCATGTTGTAACTCCAGGAACTGGATGTAACAAGAGAGGAGCCGATATGCCCCGCCCCCCCCCCCCCCAAAAAATCAGTGTTACTCACACAGTTACAAAAGAACCAGAGGTGTTTTCTCACTCTGTTATTAGTCCTTGCCTTTCTTTGGTAAATGAAAATGTCGACCTGGTTAATAGCATTTACCCCAAAGTGAAGTTTTAAATGGGGAATCCCTGGGACACTTAGGGGCTGAGGAGATACTTACCTGAGGACTCTGCCCCCTTGTTTTTCATGATTTGCAAGTAAGTCCCAAACTCATGATTCAAAACCACATGAAACCATGTACCAGAAGAGAAACACAACTGGTCAGTTAAAAGCCCTCAGTCTCATTGATTCAAACTTTCTAAAAAAATCATTAACTTTCACATTAGTAAACAATTCAGAGAAGTGAATTCCAACTGGCAAGTTGGAAGTGGGGGTAGGGGAAACACTGTGTGGTAGAAATTGAAATTGGAGGTCTTTCTCTGGAAGGCAGTGTGGGAATGTATTTTTAGAGTTGTTAGTGCACCCACAGTCTGACATAGATAATTCCAAACAGGGAAATGGTTCTAAATACAAATCTAAGTTAATGAACAAATATACACACACACTCACCAGTACTTTTCATGTTAGAAACAACCCTGTTTATAAATAGGAGATTGTTAAAAGAAATGACAATACATTCAAGATAATGAAATGCTCTGTGGTTGTTCAGGATAGAGGGCCAGACTCAGTGGTGCACACCTGTAATCCCAGCTACTTGGGCAGCTAAGGCAGGAGAAAACGATTAAGTTCAAGGCTCTGTCTCAAAAATTTTAAAAAGTTGGAGGGGGGCTGTGGATGCAGCTCAGTGGTGGAATGCCCCAGGGTTCAATCCCTAATACAAATTAATTAATTAATTAATTAAGCAGACCCATATGGGCAATTCTGAAATAGGCTCCAATATATACTTGGTAGAAACAGAACAGGTACTTGAGTATGCAGAGTCAGGATGGATAAACTGTCCAAGGAGAATCTGGGGACTGAAGGAGGGAGCCTAGATTTTCACAAATCAGCCTTTTATACTCTGGAATTTTACCACGTACATGTGGCACTTCACAGACAAAATAAACAAAATCCCAATCTTCTTAAAAACTAGAATTGCGGTCCTTATTCACTTCCTGGCAGCCTTGTGCCAAGGAATTTCCCAGTATAGATGAATCAAACCATCTCCCTCTTCCCACATCGTCAAATAGGTGGAAGCAAGTCAGCTGTCCTATGGTGTTTCCAAGAAAGGAGAGGGGACCACTACATTTTATCTTCCCATCTAGAACAGAAGGATCTCTGCCTAGGAAACAAGACTGCATTCAGCAAAGCTGAGGCCAACCTCAGCTTAATAAGCACATCCAGAAGTTGAAGCTAGGAATCCAGTCTTCATTTCTGTGTGTACTAAGGACACTGAAGCTGAAAACTTCAGTGAAGATGGCGAGATGAGGAAGAAGACTTTGAAGACAGTTTAAAGCCACATGGTAGAAAAAAATGAAGAGGAAAGTGCTGATTTCACTGAGGAGAACACAGACTGAGTTTGGGAGTCTCACCAGTACAAGTTTATACTATTGCATTTTGATAACATGTAAGTAAAAAACTTGAGTATTATCTTCCAGTAAAAACGCAGAACCAACTTCTTTTTAGATTAAAACAGTAGTTTTGTGAACAAAAATGGACCACTTGCTACCTGGGGTAAACAGAGCTGGATGAAAAGGAATCAACAGCTCAGGAAACCCCCCAAGAGTCTTGGAGGATGTTCCAAAAAAGACATATTTTAGCCCTCTCCCAGGGATATGGTTTGGGGAAGCCCAAAACCCAACAGTCACAGGTGCTTCCATGAACAAGTGGGGAAAGACCTTGGATTTTCAATGTGGCTGGTGTGGCTCCCCACTGTTTCTCCATCTCCTGCGGAACTCACTTGGCAGCAGACTGGCTGGCCACTGCTGGCCTGGGCAATAGATGGTTTAAAAAAAAAAACAAAAAAAAAAAAAACCAAGGTGGTTTGAATCATAGATCCGTCATAAAAGGTCACACACAGTTCTTGTGCCAACAGAGGCCCCAAATAGAAGTGGGAAGAGTTAGGGGAAATGGAACCAGAATTATTCCTACAGTCAGAGAAAACTCAGCAACTCTTGCCTGTCTGACCCCGAGTTGTTACTTGAGGGACTGTGACTGGACAATGAGGGAAGGCCAGGTGTGCTTTTCCTGCAGAGCTGCTTTTGAAGTCCCTGCAGTCAGGGGCTCCCTGACCCTTCTGACTCCCCTAGAGCAGGGACTGTGCAGGGGCTCCATGGGGCCCAGCAGAGGGAAGAAATAAGAATAACAGCCGTAGGCACTCCTGAGGCAGCCACAGACGGAGGCCTCTGCCAACTCAGCACCAGGGGTCTTTCACGCACCTGAGGATTCCTTTGGAATTAAACACTCCTAAGTGCTGCTACCCAGGTAGAGATCTAACTAGGCTATCTACTCTTCAACCAGGACTCAAGCTGGAAAACCTCCTTGTCCATGGTAACTGAGAAAAATCACTTCTTCATCACTTCTTCAGAGAGAACTTGGTGGATGGGGAAGCAAATTAACCAGAATCTCAAAGCCATGAGCTGAGATGGGAGCTGCAAGAGGAGCATCCCTCTGACCCTAGGAGGCCATGCTGCTCTGGTGAATTCACCTCCCACACCTCTGTCCCTCAGCTCTCCACATTGTTCAACCACCCCCACCCCTGGAGCTGGTCCAACTTCAGGATGGTGTGCTAACCCTGTATTGAGGAGCCGGGAGCAGCAACCTAGGGTGGCAAAAGTATCCTTTGCCAAAGAATCACACAAAAAAAGTATGGTCTCACAGCAGGCACAGCATTTTGTTTCTTTTAAAAAATAAATATTTATAAACTTAGGGAGGAAGATTCAAAGAATCAGAGTATCTTTCCCTCCAAAAGCACAAATGTCCCACGTGAGTTAAACCAAGGTTAAGTCTACCAACCCATGAATGAAATCCCCCTCCCCGGAAACTGCTGTGTTCAGGGGTGGGTAGGCAAGGGAGCTGATCTCTCGCTCCTGGCCCCTCAGTCTCCCTTGGTGATGAGGTCCTCGATGTAGGCATCCAGCTCATCATCTGTGTTGATGTCTATGTCCTGCAACAGAGCGGGGCAGGGATCAGCCAGGGCCAGAAAGTGTTGTTGTTGTTGTGGGGGGGGGGGGTGCCTCTCCACCCTTCTCCCAGTTCCTGGCGTTAAGCCCAGAGTCCCCTCCCCATGATGCACTCCACCCTGGCTGCCAGGCTCGCTCCTGTCCTGATCATTTCCCCTATCCCCACCTCAGATGATGCCCAGATTTCTTCCTTCTGCTCTACTGTTCCACTTCCTTAGACGAGTGTTTCCCTTAGTGTTGCCCACTTCTGTCATCACCCCAATCAATGTCCAGGCCATCACCATTTCTTACAGACAACTGTGTGAACTTACATGTTCCCTGGTTCTAACCTCCACCCCTCCAACCAACTGGAGTATCATAATGAAAATTGGACCAGGCCACATCCCTCCAATGACTCCCTACTGCCACCTTCATAAAAGTCCTTGTACTTCTTTTATCCACAACTCCCACTCAGGCTGAGTCCTGATCATTTTCCCTCATTTCTCACTCTTTTATTTTCCCTCATTTTTCACTCTTTGTCTTCTACCCTGACAAGTGACCTCACACACTGTCCACCATTAGTAGCTCTGTCTCTTCCTCCAGACACAGAGCAGGCCCCCTCGGTATTCACTGCCTGGAATAAGGGGCACTCCCCACTTCTGTACTACCCAATCCCATCTGGGCATCATCTGAAAAAACAAGACTTTTGTAGACTGGAGGGTTCTCAAAGCAGGCTACACATTGGAATGTCTGAATAAGGGACAATGTTCAGTGGGTCTGGCTGGGATGAGGCCCAGGCAGCCACACCACCTCAAGCCCTCCTGGTCAGGATGCAGTGCAGCCAGGGTTGGAACCACAGATTCCTGTGAGTGGATAGAATCCAGTGAGAAGGGAGCAGGAGATGCCCAGGCCCCCCTCCCTGAGAGACCAGGTGGTCCAACTGCAATGAGAGGGCTGCCTGGCTCACCTCCTGCACCTTTTGCAGGAGTGCCACGATGTTGGTCCTCAGCTTCTGCAGCTTCTCCTCTGTCTCACGGAGTTTCCTCTCGGAGGTGCGCAGGCTTTCCTCAGAGGCCTTGGCTCTTGAGTCAGCACGGCTTTGATAGGAATGGCACAGATTCTGGAGCCCTACTTCATACTGCTTGAAGTACTCTTTCTGTGGAGGGAAGGGTGAAGGCAAGATGAGTTTCTGAGGGTTCCCCAGTGCCCCAAACACTGGATTCCATCCCTGGCACCACATAAAAATAAAATATATATATAAAAAAAGAAAAAGAAACCTCTCAATGCTGGTAGCTCATGTGTCTTTATAAGAAATAACCTCCTCTTAGCTCTTAGGCTACCCCTGGTCGGAAGCAGAGTAAATCATGTTATAAATATGACCTAATTAGAATATTAATATTGTTTTTTGTTTACACTGAGATTCCATGTAACATTTCATTTGAAACAGGCATGTTGCTGCCTTTTCAAAGATCTTGACAAACTGCTACAAACTGCTAATTAACAGTAACTACTAGGCTGGGGTTGTGGCTCAGCAGTAGAGTGCTCACCTAGCACATGCGAGGCCCTGGGTTCGATCCTCAGCATGACATAAATATATAGAATAAAGCTATTATGTCCAACTACAACTAAAAAATAAAAACACCCCCCCCCCAATAAAAAACAATAACTACCACCCCATGGGTTTCAAGTTCTCAAGGGACATAGTAAAAAAAGTTTGATGTTGCAAAAATATTTACTACACAAATCTGCAGTTGGTAGATGCTTGCTGGAACAGTAATCCTGGTGTCCTTTTTTGCCATCTGGAATAGTAAAAATAACCCCTCCTGGGCTGTTGGTATAGCTCAGTGGTACAGCACTTGCCTAGCATGCACAAAGCCCTGGGTTCAATCCCCAATCCCGCATTATAAAAAATTATCCCTCCTATTTTATTCATGGCTGCCATCTGCCATACCATTTTGCTGAGTGCTTTACCTGTGTGATCATGTCCTTATCCAAGAGTTAAATGTGAAGGTCTTTCTCCTTTGGACCTAGGGAGACCAGCTGCCCATCTAGAAGGGCACTGGGGGGTAGGCGAGTGCTCTACCTCTGAGCCACAATCCCAGCCCCACATTGAAAAGTTTCTGATTCTGTTTTAAAAACTATAACAAGCAAGTATATAACTAAGAATCTAAACTTTTCAAACCAAGATGACTAGATATATTTCATGTTTTGCACACCCAAAAAAATACTTACCTTGGCAGCTCAAAATAAATAAGCCGATTCCAAAACATTAAAATTCACAATGTCAGGGCAACCATGATTGATACTAGTTTCTTTAAAAAACAAAAAAACCTTTTTACTTTAAATTCACAAACAGCTGTTTGTTTCATTAGTTTTTTTGTTGTTGACATTTTTTATTTTTTAATGGTACTTGAATCTAATATTTACAGGGCCTCTAAATGGAACTTTTAGGCTGGCATGATAGGAAAAAAGAACAAATATTTACAGACTGACAGAGACAAAATGAACCTAGATGCTTTTATACCAAAGAAAATTTGATTTCTGACATTATAACCAGGAGATTAAAGTTGTACACTGTTATTATACCTCATTTTATAAAAATAAGTTACATACTATTTTTAGAGTTAGACACTCACACTGACTTTGCAGTGGGCACTGTTGCTCAGCCCCAAACAGAGGTCCTGCTGTACCAAGCCACTGCTGAGTTTGGCAACAACTTTAAGCCAAAAGAAACAAATCTGACTGACAAGAAGATGACAGACAGACCTAGCCATCCTATCAAACTGTTCATTCTCCTGGGATTTGCATAAAGCACCCAAAGCCTAAACAAGGGCAAAAGCTGAAGCATGCATGGAGCATTCTGTGAAGACACCGTCCTAAGTCTGTTCTAGCTCCTCACTTTGCAGGGAGAGCAAGGCAGCACTGTAAGGAGAGAAAGATGATCTATCCTAAGAAGTGCCTGGGTTCAAATTTGGGCTCTGTCACTAAGAGACTACCTTTCCTGAGTCAGTTTCTTCCACACCTAGCTTATCTCATTTTTTTTTTCAAAGTAGAAAGGAGATAAAACCCCGTATTTTTCTCTCTGGCAAACTACATTAAGCACAGAGCTATTACATGAAAGCCCCAAATCTTGAACATACTTATCCTGAAATCTCTATTTTAATCCTCTTCCCTTCCCTAGATCACTGAGCTATTCCTAATACCACTTTCTGAGTATGAGTCCTAGACCCCTATTCTCAAGAGAGTCCTGACTCTCTTTCATCTATACCTATACACTACACAGCCCTAGAAATATGGTGTTGATACTTCCAATGCAGCACAAAGCTTATTACCTTCCTAACACTTGCCACTAAAATAATTCCCCACAGGCCTGAGACACACAGCAAGGATGAATAATTGCCACAGAGACTGTGTGGCCTGCATACCTTCAATTATTTGCTAATGGGCCCTCTACAGAAAAACACTGTTGGCCCCTACTCTAGACATGGTTCATTATTAATTATTTCTTCAGCTCGAGCCTTTGCTGGCTGGCCTCCATTTTCTACAGAGGTTAAGTCAGCATGACTATATTAGATTGACCCAAGATGCTTCACTTCCTATTCTCAGCTCACCTTACAACCTGTTTCTGTGACCCCGTCCTTTCAGCCCACCAGCCTTTTTTTAAAAAAAATATTTTTTAGTTTTAGGTGGACACAATGTCTTTATTTTTACGTGGTGCTGAGAATCGAACACAGTGCCTCAAGCATGCTAGGCAAGCGTGCTACCACTTGAGCCACATCCCCAGTCCCCTGAGCCTTTTTGTTCACAAAAGTCCCAGCTTCAGACATCACCCTTCACCTACATAGGCAGGCATTTGCAAAAGCCCTTGTTTTCTTTGCACTGAGTCGTTTCCACCCCCACCCTCAGTTTCCCGCTGCCACAACACTTGTGAAGATCTTGGCCTCATGACCAGATACCTGGTCTTAGTTCAGACCAGAAACCTGGTCTTAGTTTAAGCAGAACTGCTCACTACGAGGTCCAGCAGAGGACCTTCTAAAAGAGGCAATAAATCAACAACACTTGCTGGGCTACATAAGCCCTAATACTGATCTCCACATTCCACAAGCTTCTCTCTACCTCCCTCCCAGTTTCACATTTTAGCCACTCTGATTCTAAACTCATTGCTGTTGCTTAGAACAGGTTTACTCCTCTGCTAGAGTAAAGGCAAAGGGATATACCTGTCATAAAAACCAGGCCTAGTAGCACTCATAAGGGGGGCTAACCTCCACATATGTTGGGGTAGAGTTGCTCTGCACACCAGTAAACCACTTTTCTCACAACATGAAGTCTTCCCTGCTCAGAAGAAGAAAGGGAAGCTGGCTAAGGTGGGGCATGTAACTAAGAGCAATCACAAGACTGTTCACAACAAGACTGGGGCAAGTACGGGGGTACAAAATCAAAGATCAGGCCAGACTCACCAGGGGAAAAGATATTAGCTCATCTGAATTCATAGCACTCAGTTCCTTCTTAGAGATGGGGAAACTCGGAGGCAGGAAATACCGTAAGCAATTCCTAAGAAATAAAGTAGCGACAGGAACTCAGAATGGCATGGAAAGAGAGCTATTGCTAGTCTTGAGTTAAAAAAAAAAAAAGAAAAGAAACATACCGGAGAATCTGGACCAGCAAGTCAATTGTCTCATGGTTGGTGTTTGGGGCAGTGGTATCAGGCTCAATGCGGATGCAGTCAGAGGTGGAGGGCTCTGCCATGGCTACAGCCTGCTGGGCCACTACGGCCTCCTCTTCCTCCCCACCCTCTTGCTGTGTGTCAGGGCTCTGATACTCTGGAGAGGGTGGCTTCATCAGCCGCACATCTTCACTGCCTTTCTCCACCCTATGGGGGACACAGAGCTTACGTTATATCTGTCCCAGACTCTTAGAATAAGCTACTAGAAGGGAGGCCAGAGGCCTCTCCTCCCCATGCCCTAACTTCTATCATTCTGTCTTCCCGGAAGGGGTCCTTACCAGCGATCTCTTGGAGTCGTATCTGTGGGCACATAGTCAAATTTCACCTTCCACCGTACCACATTCTTGCCCACCTCCACAGCTGTGACACGGCCTGTGTACCACTCTCTGTTCACACGTACCTCCACATGCAGCCCTTTATCTGAGAATTTGGAAAGAAGTGAGAATCAAGAGAACTAGAGTCTTCCATTCAGCCACCTTAAGAAAGGTAGTCCTCAAGGCTTGGAGGACAGAAGCCCCTAAATGCTGTCACCCTCACTGCATCTTAGTTTAATTCTCCCTCTTTAGAAAAAGAATGCCAAAAAGCATGAGGATGAGTGACAACCAGCAACAAATATCAAGGAATTAGTGTTAAAAGTAATCACAAAACAGGGTTGAGAGATGTGGCTCAGTGGTAAAGCACTCACCTAGCATGTGCAAGACACTACATTCAATAATTACCACCACACACACACACACACACACACACGCATGCACAAAAAGGAGGAGAGGGTTCCATCTTTAGAATTATCTCTGAGATTAGATTAGGATCCTGAGTACAGAGCCCAAGCCCAGGAATGATAACCCAAACTTTCAAAAATAAACTGATGCTTGCAAAAGATCTACACTCCTACCCACAGGTTTCTAGGGACCTCCCCAAACTCACCTTTCTGAGCTTTCTTGAGGTCAGCTGGGTCCTCTTCCCCAGCACTGTCTGACAACTGTAAGAAAAAGACACTGTTAGAGGCATTCCTAGTGCCTCCTGAAAAGATGACTTGTATTACTGGCTACCCAGGGTCTCACTGCCACCTTCATGGTACAGTTTAAATCACTCTCTAAATTCACCTTTATAAATAAGACAGAAGGCAAGGAACAGAATGTCACAGACACAGAGAAGTGAAGTGATTCTAACCCACTGATGTGTACCAGTGTAACTAAAGGCCTGGGAATAAAGATCCTGCAATGGCATCAAACTTCTATTCATCTGCGTCCTTCAAAGAGCAACTAGGCTTGTGAAAAGGCTCTTGGAGTTAGGTAACAGAGATGGTGACAGTGGCTGCACCAGAGGGGCAGAGCGGGGCACAGTCTTGACCAGACTGTTTGCAGGTTTTCCAGGTGCCTCTGGTGGCTGGAGAAGCCTAGAGGTACTGGCCTCTACCCGGGTTGCCAGAGCTGGCACAGACAGTGTGGGCTACAGGCTCTGGAGAGGAAGGCTCTGAGAACCTCACCTCAACCACCTACCTCATTTGATTCCTTCCTTTCCTCCTTCACAGCAAATTTGCCCCTCTTGCACCGCTCCTTCCTCTTCTCAGGCTCTTCCTCAGCTTCTTCCTCATCAGAGACCCCAAGACTCCGCTTCCGACCAGGGGTAGCCTAAAAGCAAGAAAATGGGAAAGTGAGGGGCCCTGTTCATCCCTCAAGGCACAGGAAATTTCAAGTGAACAAAGGAGCCATTCAGAGAAGGGCTTGTACTTCAACTGCAATGACATTGCTTGGTTCAAAATATAAACACCTTCTGGCCCTTGTGCCATGAGGACCTTTGCTCAAAGTTGTCATGGAAGAAGCCTCTTGGTTCATTCACTGCTTAGGCACCTAGCCAGCTAGCTATGACCTCTCTGATATACACTAACCATTGCCACAGCTGCCAAGGCTGTGATCTGGTTGCCAACCCATGCCTACATGTGAGAAGCCCATGGAGATGATTAAAATTCATGGAGACCAAAGCTCAGGGGAGCAGGGAAAAACCTGTGGACAAGGTACCAATTTATACTATGACCCTGACCAAATCTCTTAGCTATGTAGACTCCCCGTCGTTGGAATCAACAGAAAAGCTCTCGATTTAATGTTCTTCCTTCAGTTCCCTTACCACGGCTTTAACACAGAGTAATTCCATTCCTACAGCACTAGTAATAGGTTAGGGCTTGGGAGAGGGTAAAGCATCTCACCGGGGAGAGTTTAATAGGTGGCTCTGGCTTCTTGACCACTGGAGTCTTGATGGCTTTGGGGGCAGGGACCTCCCGAAGGCTCTTGGAGTTAGGTAACAGAGATGGTGACAGTGGCTGCACCAGAGGGGCAGAGCGGGGCACAGTCTTGACCAGACTGTTTGCAGGTTTTCGAGGTGCCTCTGGTGGCTGGAGAAGCCTAGAGGTACTGGCCTCTACCCGGGCTGCCAGAGCAGGTGGCTTTGGAAGGCTATTGATGACAGGGGCTTTTCGAGTTTGGCTGGCTGGTCTGGAAGTCTGCAGGGAAGGAGGTCTGCTCGGGGCATTCTTGATCACAGCAGGTAAAGGGGGTGACCGAGGACGCTGAGGTCTCCGCGCAGGTTCCTATAAAAAGCCCACAGAGAATGAGAACATTGATCCTGTCCTGGGACACCTAAGAAAGAGTTCCTTCTCATGCTCCCAGACTTTTACCTCAGTGGAAGGTCTGGTGGTCACTTCCAAGGGCAATTTCTTCAGGTCAGCTTGGGAGCGGATGGGTGTGGTTTTCTGGAAGGCAAATATGATGATAAAAGTTTTCTGCATATCTTGATACAAATCAATTTTTGGGGAATCATCACTCTGTGTCTGGGACAGTGGGCAAATAAAAAGAAAACCTGGGTCACAGTCCTAGTTCTACAAGCCTCCATTCTCATCAAGATGATGAAAAATACATAAACACTAAAATACGAGCAAATTGACACTGTGATTAATCCAGCAAGTGAGAGACTTGGGAAAGTATCTATAGACTGAATTTCTATCAAAGGAATCAAAAAAACCTAATAGACGTGTGAAACTCGGACAAGGCCAGAAAAGACAGGTGGGACTCAGTAGAGAGGTACATATTAAGACACTTCATGTTAGTGAGAGTATGTCTACAGACAAAGCAGCCAGAAAGGAAAAAAAGCTTTTATAATAAAATATAAAATAATGAAACGTATCTAGAAAAAAGGGACAAACCAAGGAAAAAAAGAGGAATGAAGACCTAGAGATTCTAAAAGAAACATACGTGGACACAGGAAAAAAGTCCAATGTTACACATAAGAAATAAAAATTTTAAGATACATATCTCTGCCTATGTATTTGTGAAAACATTTGAAAATGATACTCTTATATTGGTAAAGAATAGAAATTAAGCCAGGTGCAGTGGCACATACCTGTAATCTCAGCTACTTGAGAGGATGAGACAGGAGGATCATAAGTTCAAGGCCAGCCTCAGCAATTCAGTGAGACTTTTATCTCACAAAAAATAAATTAAAAAGACTAGGGGGTACAGTTTACTGGTTGAGCACTTGCCTAGCATGCAAGAGGTACTAGGTTCAATTTCTAGGATTGCTGGGGGTGGGAGGCTGAAAAAATAGAAATTAAATAATCTTCTGAAGGGTAACTTCATATGACTTATTTAAAAAGCCACCAATTTTTTCTTTTTTTTTCCTTTTTTTTTTTTTGGTACTGGGGATTAAACCCAGTAGCACTTCACCATTGAGCTACATCACTAACCCTTTTGATCCTAAGACAAATTCTCACTAAGTTGTTGAGACTGGTCTTGCAATCCTCCTGCCTTGGCCTCCCCAGTCATTGGGATTACAGGCATGCATGCACCATTGTGCCTGGCTAAAGCCATACAATTTTTCAAACTCTTTTTCTATTTCATTTCTAGAAAATTACCAAGAAAAAAAAAATACATGTGTGTGTGTGTGTGTGTCATTAAATACATAGGTGGCATAATCTTCATACCTTTTTAAAAAATATTTTTTTTTTTAGTTGTAGATGGACACAATGACTTAATTTTTTTATTTGTGTGGTGCTGAGGATTGAACCCAGTGCCTCACATGTGATAGGTGAGTGCTCTACCACTGAGCCACAACCCCAACCCATAATCTCCATACTTTTATGAAAAATATAATTGTATTTATATATATTACATTTAGGTATTTGTGAAAAAACTGGAAGGATATTTAATGTGGTTAATTCTACAACAGGATGTTTTCTCGAGTTTTTCATCCATCCTAAATAAACTGGACTACTTTGGAGTATATAAACAAAATAGTTTTTTTTGAAAGAATAAGCAAGGCATACTTGAAAAACAGAGCCTGCAATCTAGGGTTGGAAAGCCTTGACCAGCATACATGGGTGAGTGGAGGGCAAAATTGACAGTGGGTCCAAGGAAGACCCTATACAGGCTGGTTCTGCCCACTGCCCACACACCTGAAGGGCCTCTAACTTCTCCTGCTGCTGGCGGATTTTTTCTGTTAGCTGTTTCTGCTTCTCTTCCTGGGTTTTCAGGTCCTTTTTGAATGTCCCCAGGGGAACCTTTTGCTTCTGTTCAGAAGCCTCGCACCTGTAAAGAGAAAAAGCTAGGGAGGCCATGGCAAGACAAAGCTCCAGCAGGGCAGGGACTTTTCTCCTCAGCCAACCCTGCTTTCTCTCAAAGAAGAAACCTCCTCAGAACTCTCAAGGCATGAAACTGGCATGCACTGCAGGACATGTGTCTATTCTTCCTTTTTGGGCATTTACTAAGTACAGCAAGCCAGAGATAAGGATGTGAGCACTGGTCTCAAGAAATGTAGTAAATTATTTACCCAAAGAGTGGAGAAATAGTGAGGAAAAAAGGGTGGTAGATTATTCACAATCTCCGTGTTAGAAAAAGTGCTCACCGGTCCTGCTCAGGATCAGGGTTCATGGAACAAACCCAGGTGTCAGGGTAATCTTTTTCCACTGAACTCAACTGGAAGGGGAGGGTCCTCCACTTCAGACACAAATCTGTGACATGGAAAACACCCACGTTAGCCACATCCCATTAATAATATCTGGAATCCAAACTCCTCACAGCCAGACCCAAGACAAGGATGCCCCAGACTATCCACACAAAGATCTTTTCTTTAGTGCCAATTCTGCCTGTCCTTACAGAACAGTAATTTTTCTCAGAGACAATAATTCTAGCAAAGATGAAAACTTTATGGACTATAAATACCCCAAACCCCTCCTCCTCCAACTGGATCCTGGTTCAGTCATGCACTCACATTAGAAATATGGTACCAAACCCACTGAGCCTGGACCCATCTATGACAAGACAAACCTGAAAGGTTAGGTGACCTTCTGCCTCATTCAGCAGGGTCAGGAGAAACTGGCACAGCCTTAAGACTGAGCTTGCAAAACTTATCAACAAACAGACATATCCCTAGAATTAGATCCATGAACATTAGTCAAGTCAGGAGGTCAGCATGCAGATAAAAAGGAAGCCGGAGTGGTCAAAGACTACAATGGAAAGGATTCAGGAGGAGGGTTCCAACCACCCCAACTCACCACACTGAATGGTGGTGGGGATTTCCATAGCTCTCCGGCGTTTGTATCGCAACTCACTGGATGGGGGCTGGTTCCAGTTGGCAGAGAGATAGCCAAACTCATCCCAGAACTTGATGATTCCACGCTGGGCTAGAAGGCAACACCCACAATCACATTAGTAGTCAGCCTTGCCCTCTTCCTAAACTCACCCTTTCCAGCCACAAGAGCCTCTTAAGGCTGAAGAAAAAAGAGAACGACCAAAGGCCTAGCAGTCCAGTCCCATTACCAATGGCAATGTCCTTCCAATACTGTGCCAGGTGCTCCCCCATAGCCCGCAGCAGGTGCCGGTACTCCTTGGCATCAGCAAAGTCCTGCTTATTGTGTGTAGGTTCTAGGACCAAGTAGGGCACATCGACAACTCCAACAACCCCTCCACATGCCCTGCAAAGAGAATGAGGACACAGTCCTGTCATCTCAGTTGCCAAAACCCTCCTGCCATCCTCCTTGGTCTAGAAAGCTCCGCTTGGTTAGTACTCACATGCCCCCTTCCAATTGTGGGCCCACTTTCTCATACATCTTTATCAGGCGACTACAGTTATAGATGAACATGCCATCTAGGTCCCGGTGTTCAATGTTGACCCCAAAAACAAAATTCAGTTCCTTAGGTTCTTTGAGTGCTCTAAGAACAATGACCAAAAATTAATTAATTACAGGCAAATCTATTCATTAGCATACAAATACCATGGAAATGAAGAGTGTTAAGCTTAAACCTATGTGATCTAGTAGTCTCGCAGCACACTGTGCAAAAACTCAAAGCTTCCCTAATTAAAAGCATATGATTCTGACTTTCTGAATAAAAAAACAGGGACAAGTTTTTGTATGAATGAGTTATTGAGAAGCTGCTGCAAATCTCCACAAAGATAGACACATGGTAGAAATAAACACAGGTTGTCTTCATACCTCCCCCCAAACTCCACTAATGTGATAGTAAATTAATTTTTTAATTTAGGCAAAAATTCACAAAACACATGAAAGAAGACACCATTATGTTGATTAATGTCAACAAAATACTGGATGCCTGAAAAGCAGACGAGCAATGAAAGGATGAAGACTGAAGTAACCTGCAGGCATAGGAATTTACACCCCAGAAAGGCTCTAGACATGAAGCTGGGACAAAGGACAAGGGGATAATTTAGTGAACCAGGACAAACGAATATTCTAAATTTTAAAAATCTACAAAACTCAATATATAGCATTACTCCACATTTGTAAATAGCAAGAAGAGAACAAATTATGAATGTATATATGTGCAACACAAAAAACTAAGAGTAGGTTATCACCAGATGATAAAAGCATAAATTGCTGAGACTGGCCTTGAAAATGTGATCCTCCTGCCCCAGCCTCCTGAGTCACTGGGATTACAGACATGAACCAGTGTGCCTAACTTAGAATTGTATTTCTTAAATGTTTTGTATTTTTCAAGTTCTATACAATGAGCATTTTGTATATCTATTTTTTCCACCTTTTGGTGGTACTGGGGATTGAACTAGGACTTCACAAATATTCTATCAATGAGCTATACCCTCAGCCCTTGTACATCCATTGAAAGAAAGAGCAGGACACAGTGGTGCATGCCTATATCACTAGCCACCTGTGAGGCTGAGGCAGGAAGATTCCAAGTTCAAGGCCAGTTTCAAAATAAAAACTTATAAAGGGCTTGGGACATAGCTCAGTGGCAAAATGCCCCTGGGTTAAATCCTCAGTAATGAGATAAAAAAGAAAAAAGGAAGGAAGTAAAGAAGGAAGGTGAGATAACTGCTGGTGAGGACAGTTAAGTGTTCAAGGTGCCAGCTTTGCCTTGCCTTTTGTAGGCTTAGGGAAGAGCTGGAAATTCAATGTAAAACCTTTCCCCTGCAGGGATATTTGTAAAGCATTTGGAATCACAATATTGTCTTTCTCAAAGTAGTCTTGGTGACAGAATGGCAACCTTCAAAAGCTACATCATTATAAAAGTTCGAAGGACAGCTCCCTCACCGCTGCTTGGCCTCCTTGATCCTCTTCTTGACATCAGCTTCTCTGCGCAGAGTAATGGCTGTATTCTGGACCTGTCGCAACATGACCTGGACACACACATCAGGATCAGGTAAGCAGAGGAGGTACTCTGGGCCCCAGGAGGTATATTATGACACTACATATAAAATTCTATTACTCTAAAACCACACCCAGAGATTTATCTTTTTCCTACAGAAAATGATCCCTACTGGGGACAAATTCAAAAGCTGTATTTTGCTCGACCAGGCTCACATGGTAAGGGATCGTAAGTGCCAGATATGCTGGAGAGGAGCTGAATGGTATGAGGCCTTACCCTTGAGTCCCGAGTGAGATCTCCACCCAGGCGTACTTCTAATGTCCGAGCTTTGCTCTCTGCCTCCCGAGCTTTCTCTTCAGCTGAAACCCAGAAGAAACAACAATAAAGAATTCAAAGGTTCAAAACTCTCTTCCCTCCTGGATCCACAGAGCAGTCCCTGCTATACAAAAAGTGTATACACCAGCAAGGAAAAGGCCAGCTGGTGAGGAACATTGGAACAGCCCTTCCAGCCTAGACTACAGGATTACTTCAGAAAGGAAAATGTGAAGCAGGTACTATTTACACATAAGACATGCTTTTCAAACTTCCAAATGAATCAGAACAGGTAAAACAAAACAAACACCCAAGGCAATTCAAATTGAGCTGGAGGCCAAAAGAAATTTTCAGCCTATCATTAGCCATCAAGCAGCCAAAAATCTCTAAGAAGTCCTGGTATCCCTGGTGAGAGACCTTGAGATTTCTGCCCTGGAGTCAGGTAAACAAATTTCACAAGTATTTGGATCAAAGATCAGTGTGGGATTCTTCACCCTGGGCAAGCGAAAGAGTTGAAAGTATTTTAGATAAGGCTCTAAAAATGGCAGAAGAGAGTAGAATTTAGAGAAAAAAGTACTGAGGGAGCTGGATATGGGGAAAGAGTTGGATAGGAACTGGACCAAGGCTCAGGAGAACAGCCTTAATCCTAGACCCCTGCTTTGGCTCTCAGCAGTGTTCTCCCAAGGGACTCCCATCCCATGCTCTCCTCCTACATAGGAAATGGCATTACCAATTCGTGCTACATGCTCTGCTTTCTTCACCTCCTGCTCGGCACGGGTCTTGAAACGGCTTGACGTGTACTTGTACATCCTGAACAATGGAAAAAGTAACTTGAGTACCGAGCCAGTAGGGCATGCAGCCAACCCAAGCAGCTCAGAAAGTACCCTGGCCCCTTTTGATGAAACAAATCCGAACTAATTTTACCGAACAAATTCAATTCCTTACTCCACTTGCCCCTTGGCCTCTGCTTTGGTTTTTTGTTTGTTTTTGTTCCTTTTTAAATATTTTTAGTTGTAGAAGAACACAATACCTTTATTTATTTATTTTTATGTGTTTCTGAAGATCAAACCCACTTCCTTCATACATGCAAGGCAAGTGCTCTATGACTGAGCTACAACCCCAGCCCTTTGTTTTTGATGTTCACCAGGGTGTCATTAATCTCACAGCAGAGACAAACCTCAGTAAAAAGACTGAGCCTTTGCTTTCCTGTGGAGCGTTCTAAAGGTCCCTTGACCCTAAAACTGAGAGACTACAATAGCTGTGCCACCCTCCACATATCAGAAAGCATTATATTGCTTGACAAGCTTAGATGGCTGAACTCCCCAACCTATCAGCCACTTGTCCCTCCCTCAGGACTGAGCAATGACTCAGATTAAAGGCCCCAACACAACCAGCACTGTCAGAGCCTTTCATACTGAATTACTCCCAACAATTCCCCAAAAAAACTCAGCCAGGCTCCAGCCCCAGTCAAGGTGGACAGGCCCCTACCTGGGCTTGTATAGGCAGCAAGAGAGCCTCTTGGTCTGCACCTTGTGCCCATGGATGAAGATCCTCATGCGGGGATCAATATAGAGCACAGCAGCATAGGCTCGGAAGGAGCGTCGCTCTGGCTTCCTGGAGGCAGCAAGAACAGAGTAGTGCTATCACCTACCCCTATCCCCAAATCCTAACCAAGGTCCCCACTGTAGGCCCTTTCCCTTTCCACCTTATATTTTAGCTTTTCTTGCCACCCTGATGGGATGCTCCCTCGCATGGGTACCACAACCTGCCCCCTCTTGTGTCCCCAAGCATAGGTGTCCCCCACAGCTCTTGTGTCCCCAAGCACAGGTGTTCCCCACAGACTTCACCTAGCCCTACCACTGCCCTACTGTGGACCCCTGGATAATTCCTCTCCCCTCCCAGGTCTCTGTTTCTTCTGTCAAATCAAGGAGGTGAAACAGGGGATCATTAATCCTTTCTTTAAGCTTTGCTAAGGAGCTATTGTCCTGTTGCCATGTGCCAAGCAGGCATGTGCTCTCAGTTGCATAAACTCTAATACTGCCACTGAGAGAAGTGCAGGGAATAAGCTCTCTTCTCTTATGCTGAAGCCACCTCCTAAGAGAATAAAGACTAGTTCTAGGACATGCCTCCCTTCCCAGCCACACTCACGTGCCCTCTGGGGAGGTTTCTGCCATCTGGATATCTCTTGGATTTGAGATTATGTCTAGTTCAGGCTCTCCGTTATCCATTAGTTTGAGATTAAAGATGATCACCAGTGTTCCTGAAGAACAGAAATCTTCCTTTTGTTCTGCCAGGCACTCCTGGCCCATGCCCACACTACTTGTGGCCTTGGATCTCCCAGATTCTAGGGCATGAGGCTCAAAGCCTGCTTACCACTGTCCCCAGGAATCTTCATGAACTGGGTCATCACTTCCTCCTCTGTGCGGAAAGGAGAGTACTTGTAGATGAGTTCTGTCTCGATGGCAAACTTCTCCACATTGTCTGTGACATGTTCCCGGGTCCGAGTATTCCAGGTAGGCAATGGAACAATCACCTTTGGAGTAAGCACAGATAGAAGCTGTGAAACCCCAAAACAGGCTTCCCCAAAAATATACAGCTATTTTCTCTCTTCCTCAGTGGTTCCACATTGCCCAGAACCTTAGGCCTAAGCTCAGAAGTCTGGAGGCTCTGTGGCTTCTGCCACTTCCAAAGACTCAACCTCTGGGATATTTCCTCTCAAGATGTGCTGGCTTCTGCCCCACAGTTCTCTAAATGGGCAGTTCCCTCTTTGGCATGACCCTAGCCATTATATTAATTTGGTAAAAATATTTGTAATTATCTAATAAATCTAAAGACACATAATAGAACCTATAAATCAGCAATCCCACTCCAGGGTAAATGCCTAGAAAAAAAAAAATTGTGCAAACGTATCAGTAACTAGGCCGATAGCACATGCCTATAATTCAGCTACTTAGGAGGCTAAGGATTGCAAATTTGAGGCCAGCCCCAGCAACTTAACAAGACCCTGTCTCAAAAAAAAAAAAGTGTCAGTAAACATATACAGGAATAACACAAACATCCACTATATAGAGGCTAAATTAAACTGATATATTTACACAATGGAATACTCTGCACTGATAAAAATGAACAAAACAGCTAGTATTATCAACATGGATGAATCTCATAAATAAAATGTTATAAAAAAATATAAAAAACCCTGCAGTCCAAGTCCATTTACATAAAACTCATAAATGGGCAGATGTAAACTACTATTTAGATATACACACACAGATAACAAACTGTAGACAAAAAGAAACGATCATCCCAAAAGTTACCTGAAGGTTGTTCCTTCAGGATGCAACAAGGAATATGATTGGTGAAGGCTCACAGAGGGTTTCTAACATTGGTCCATAGTGGCGACTGCACGGTTGTTTGTTTTAAAATTATTCTTTCAACTCTGTGTGTGTGTGTGTATTAATGCCTTCTTCCACATATATGGAACTTAGAATTATACCTAAGTAATATTTTTTAAAATCCTATTCTATCTTCAAAAAACCTTACCTCAAATACTCCCTAGTGGATTCACTGTGCCCTTCCCCCTTCCTCTGAGCCAGCAGTCCCTTGTAGAGCTCAGCAGAGGGCTGACTGAAGGAATTCTCTCAACACAGCAAAGCAGTTGAGGCACCTCAGGGATTCAAACCAGTTGGCCCACCCTCAGGACAAAGAGACTCTCTATCTGAAGTGCCAGGAAGATAAACTGTTAAGAGACACCACTGATTTCTAAGCTTTGCACTGAAAGTATTCAACCATGGGGCTGGTTTGGACACATTCCTCCTCAGCCAAACATGATCTTATTTTGAAATCTTGGCTGAGTTCACACTAGAGTACAATCCAAAATAGTGACCTTCCAGCACCAAGTAAGGAAGAGTTTTCAACCTAGCTTTTCTACCAAGGGAACTGATTTCCATTTGTGTACTATGAACTTGTACCTGCATTTTTTATCTCCCAATCTTTACAACAGTCCTAGGTGATATTGGCATCACTTTAAACCATGGCCACTTACTTCCAATGGCACCCATTCCTCCTATTAAGTCAATTCTCTTTCAGTTACAATGTAACCTCTCTCCCAGTTTACTTCCTACCTTTCTAGTTACCCTTCTTTGTCCTTTGCCACTTTCTCCTTCCTCTGAACTTTCAACGTTAGCCTGCCTAAATCCCAGGTCCTCTTCTCACTCCACTCTCTCCTTCAGAGCCCAGAGCCCAGACCTCCCACAACTCCAGATCTAGACTTGACTTTGCATGTCTGGAACAAATTTACACTAACCCCTTCACATGCCCCACTTCTATTCCCCACTCTGCTCCAGGTAGCCCACTGTCCCCACGGACTCCTTTTAGGCCCTGCCACACCAAAACCATAAATGACCCACCACCCCTCTCATCCTTTTTCACCCTTCCCTGATCAATCTCCACATCTGTAGATCCAATATCCTAAACAGATAATGACTCCATCTATGTCTCTTACCTCCCTGGTATGAGTCCCAACAGCCTACCACAACCAGGGCCTATCAGGTAGTTCACTCTAATACTTGGACCAGGAAACATTCCCAAACATCCCAATCCAAGCAAGGTTCTTCCATCCTACCTTCTCCAGGAAGCCTGCTCTTTTTCAACTGTAGTGCATCCCTCAATCCAAGTATGCCAAATGAACTAATGTACTGCACCAAAAAGGAAAACAAATCCACTGGCTTGCTAAGTAAAGACAAGAAAAGACACTCTGCTATTCACAGCATGAACTAGTTTGCTGTGACTAAACAGGACCAGAACAAATTCAATCACACCTAAGCAACAGAGAGGAATTAAACTGAAACTGTGAATTCAACTTTCTGCTTAGTGACACCCATGGACTTCTTTCTACAGAACCTCTCAGGCCCTTTTCTCAAGCTCTTACCTCCATTACACATGAAAGGAGGTAAGAATCCAGTTTGAGACTAGATAGACCAGAGAACTTCCCTAATCCCCTCAATAAGAATACATATGAGCAGATACATGAGTTACCAGGTCACAAAAAGAATCAATTAATTATACTACAAAAATGTTTTAAAGTAAAAATATTCTGGATTAACCCAATTTTCCAACATAGCAATAATCACTGGAGTGTGTAGCAGCCACTCCAAAAGTGAAACTAAATAGCAGTTGCCATTTAATAACAAGCTCATGCCAATGTTTTCCATACACTCATTTGTTTCACTATCTGCCCAGACCTTGAAGATTGTGTGACTTGTAGTTTCTGACAAAGGTAGTAACAGCAACATAGTTCCTCAAAAGGAAAATATTCTCAAAGCCCATTCCACAAAATCACTATCATCAAATGGGAAAGACATTGTTATTCCCATTATTACCATTAGCTACAATCTCCACCCACAGTCAGGGAAGCCCAAAATACTCTCCCTTATAACATAGCTCTCCATGGTGACACCCTCCACAGATGGATTCAAGCTGAAGATCTGGAGGAGCTGCAAATCCAACTCTTGATTTCTGCCATTTAACAGTTTCATTCTCAGAAACAAGACAGCTGTTTTCTAAGTGCTTTGAAATTTCACTTCCTCTCATATTATCATTTCTCTTACCTCTTCAACCAATTCATTCAACCAGATAAGCCTGTGACAGAGGCAAGTGCATCAATCCAACAACCCCAGAGAGCCCAGCACTATAAAGGCCTATGGACACAGCCTGGGCAGACTCAGGAAATGTGGTGTAGTGACTCAGACCACAAAGATGGAACCTACTTCATCAATGCCTTCTTCTTCATGAAAAGTACGAGACAGGAAGAGGCAAGTCATAGTGTCTTCCTTCTTGGTGAAGAGGATAAAATCCTTCCCAATGCGCATTGAGCCCCTGAAAGGGAAACAAGAAAACCAGTTGTTGTCCAAGAGATTCAAAGTTTACCTCACCCTCTGGATATGATTGAAACTGCCTCTAAAGGGCTCTTCTGAAGGCCTCCTTAGGTCCCAGCACCTGAGCTGAGCTCCACAGCCTTTGTTTCCTCTCCCAATTGTTCAACACTTTTTGCTTTGCTTTTCTGATAAGCCTGTAATTCCTCCATCTTTACCTACAACCTTCTCATCCACACTTACCCTCCATACAGGGCTCTCTTGCCATCCTTCTAAAGTTCAGTAGTTGTAGACCCATAAGCCCCCAGTAAGTCTCACTCCCAGCCTGTTACAATAAAGCTAACAAGTAACCCTGTGCCCTCAAGTTCCAGGTTCATTCCAGTCACACAAAAGTTGCTGTGTCTCTGATTGTACCACCAGCAGATCTCAGTAACTGATACCTTCACCATATTGACTTCTATATGGGCCACACCCAGTTTTCATCCTGTCCTTTCTTCACTGATCCAAGTTCCCCTCCCGTGAAATCCTCAAACAGCAGCAACATCCTGGAACAGCCCAGTGTCTATGCCTACAAGTCCTTCAAAATCCAGTATGAACCCACGGCTCAGCCAAACTTAGGTCCTAACAAAATAGAATTCTCAATAACCAGGAGGCTTGCAACTGGATTATAACCCATAATTATAGCCATCTTCTATCTCAGAATTGCTTTGCCACCTCAAGCTCATTAGGACACATGCAGGTCCTTACTTTTGGATGCAAGTGGTTTCTGGGAACTGTGCCTTGAAGATTTCCACAAAGCAAAAGTATGAGTAGAAATTAAAAAAAAAAAAAAAAAAAAAGTATGAGTAGAACCTAGTGCTTCCTTCCTGTTGGCCATGTTAAATTTTCTGAGGAGCAAGCAGAGACAGGTCTTTCCAGCCAACATGGAGCAGAGCAGAAGCATGAAGCACCACTGGGAGGACTGCCCATTCAACAATGAAGCTGTTTAGCTCCTTTCTTCTTCTGAACAGCTTCTGGGATTTTATGGCTATTATCTCATTAGTCCTCAAAACACCCCCGGGAGATGACGGAGGTAGGAAGCCTCATTACTGTCTTCTGTGTACAAAAACAAACCAGACTGGCATGCCAAGCACATAAATGAATGTCATGCCCCATTTCCCCAAACACTCAGGAAAACTCCCAGGACACTCTCCAGAGATGCCCTAGGGGCTGCCAAGTCCTGTTTCTCCTCCAGCAACCAAGGTTCTGGCAGGGCTCCTTCCCCTCAATTTCAGTCCTCCTCCCTGAAGACTGCAGGTAGCAAAAGGAAACACATTATCTTACTTTCTGGCAAAACTTGCCCTTACTCTAACATGGTAAAAACTCTCTTTGAGTCTCTTTCTTCCCTCTGTTTTTTATCTTGACCAGAGAGCCTGAATGATAAGAACCCCAAAACACCATCTCTCTGGTGGCTTTTCTGCTTCTCTGCCTAACTCTGCCACAAATCACCTCATCCTGAAACTTTCAATTTCTGAAACTGATTTCAAAATGACTAAACTGCCTACTCTGAACACTAGATGGCTCCATTTCAATGGGACCTTCACTAGTCTACAGGATATGCTAACGACAACACTCTCAACTTCTATAAAAGTTCCTTTCCAGTCTTCTAAGCACTTTCATAATGAGTCACATTTCATTTACTCCTGAACCTCCATGTGAGGAATAAGGTCGAAGTTAGAACTCAACTACTTAAGAAGCTGAGGAAGGAGGATCACAGGTTTAAAGCCAGCCTGGGCAACTTAGCAAGACCATACATGTCTTTAAAAAAAAAAAAAAAAAAATGCAAATATTTTTGTAAAAAGGGCTGGGAGTAAAAAGTTCATTGGTAGAGCACTTGCCTAGCATGAAAATGGCCCTGGGTTCAATCCCTAGTACCTAGAAAAGAAAATCCCCATTTTCTAAATTAGAAAACACATTCAGAAAGGTAAAACTGAACCCAGAGAACTAACAGGACCAGATAGGAGGCATCTGACCCTACAATCCAGGTAGGAAATCAAGATTTCCCACCAGTGTAAAAGACCTATGTGGGGTAGTTACAGCACCTGTATCAGAATTCTCTGGGGAAAGTCAAGCATGGTGGCACATGCCTATAATCCCAGCTATTTGGGAGACTGAGTCTAAACAATCATGAGTTTGAGAACAGCTTGGGCAACACAGCAAGACCACATCTCAAACGGGGTGGGGGCGGGGGGAGGTGCCACGGCACATGCCTATAATCCCAGTAGCTCTTGAGGCTGAAACAGAGGCATCTCAGGTTCAAAGCCAGCCTCATCAACAGGGCAAGGTGCTAAGCAACTCAGTGAGACCCTGTCTCTAAATAAAATACAAAACAGAGCTGGGGATGTGTGGCTCAGTGGTTGAGTGCCCAGGGTTTAATCCCTGGAATCAAAAAAAAAAAAAAGAAGAAGAAGAAGAAGAATCCTCTGGGGAAGATTCCTAGTGATTCATCATCATCACAGGTGATTCATTTCATCTGCAAAAAAAAAAAAAAAAAAAGCACACACACACACAGATCCCTAGGTCTTACCCAAAAATCCATTATAGAATGATCCCAAGAAAAATAAAATAAGAAACCAAAACCAGGCTAGGGATTCTCACAGCAATGATGCATAATCCTTAACCTATTTGGCATGCCTTATAATTGCAACTTACAAAGAGGAAACCAAAGCTCAAGAGGTAAGTTTAAACCTTAAGTTTGTCTGACTGAAATGGAATGGACAGCAGCTCCAGTTTTGCAGTCAAAAACACCTGGTTCATAGCCCTGCTCTGTATGTAGACAAGTCATTTCCCTCCTATAAACCTGTTTTTTTCAGCTGAAAATAACAGCAGCTACACATCATAGGCTACAGTGGGAAATAAATGAGATCAACCATTTTTTAGCACAGCGCCTTGTAAATGGTAAGAGCTTATTATCATCACATCTGGTTTCTGCCCTGAGAGAGAAATCACAAAGTCTAGGAAGAGACTCCTAAAAATCTCTTTGGAAGTACTTTCTCTTCTCCATATCCAAAGCACACTGCATGTGAGGCCGAACCAAGGCTACTGGCAGATTAAACCATCATCCTCTCAAATAAAATGTTTCCACGGCAAAACTTGAAATGTGACCCATAATTCCATTTGCACAAACTCCAATTCCATTAAATCTTATTTCATCCAAAGGTATGTGCAGCTGGAAGTGAGCATTTCAGAAATAGAAACCTTTCTCTTGGGGCTTCACTCAAAACCAGAACAACACATTCCAAACACTAAACAAGTGGAAACCAAGGGCAGAGAAAGAAGTCCCAAGGGAATTGAAGATAGTAGGTAGGTTCCTGCTATAGGCCCTTACAGGACATGTGCACTGAAAAGCATCCTCCAGGTGTGAGGGCGTGTGTGTGTATGTGTGAGGGCATGGGTGTATGTGTGTGTGTATGTGTGTGTGTGTGTGTGTGTCTCAATTCCCATGCCTGACACAAAACATAACATGCACCAGGGGCTCAGTTAAACAGCTACACCTTAAGCAACACCATTTCCGACATATCTTGGTGCCACAAGAGAACCACCCACATCCTCAACCAAAGGATAAAAATAAGAATTTCCAAAGAAGAGGTACAGTTAAAATAGTGTCAAGAGAAACCCATAGCCTCTCCCACCCCAATTTGTTTGGATGTGCATACTTTTCAATCTGTGAAGCAAAGTCACAAACCACTGTTCCTGATTCTCCTACTGTTTCAGAGTTAGAGGTATAGAAGGACAAGAGGAAGGACAGCAGGACAGCACCATTTGATTTTGTGTTGAGCCCTGTGATAGGCTTCTAGTATACCTACGATTTTAACCCATTCCCGTACTGCCCAATCTGGGTAGACTCAGGTGTTCGTTTGGCCGACTTGCCAAACTGGATTACACTGGCAGCATCACCTGAAGCAGCAAACACAAGAGAAAGTTAATACTTAGCATTTCTCTCCCAAGACCTTCAAAGTGAAATGTCTGAGACTTGTTAAGTTCAAGCATGGTTGTGTGTCTGCTAAAAAACTCCAAGGAAATTTGCAACCATGAGGCAAACTAAGGTAACCTTTGCCTGCCTGTCAGTACCAACACTGTGACCTGTTCTCTGTTAGCTGAAATGGTAAACAGACTGGGAAAGGCCTTGGTAGTTCTGGTTCCAGGATGTTGTGCAAGTTGATAAATACAGTATCAAGATACAAGTAACCTGACTGACTTCAGGCTGCCATTTAGATCCCATCTCCCATGTCAGGCCAAGACCTGACAAATACATAGAGGAATTAAGTCAGAGACTTCTTACTCCTCAGGTGGATTTATTAGTTACAATAGTGAGGCCACAGAAAAACAAGTTTACTTAATCAGTGTTTTGTAAAAATGGTTATATCCTCCTCCAAAGAAACAATCATCTCATCACTTACTTGGATCCATTCCTGCTCCATCATCCAAAAAGCAAAGCATAAATCCTCCTCGAAGGTCCTCTCGTCTTTCTGTAAAAGAAGTAGCTGCCTTTACTAGGCTGTTATCCACTAGAGGGTGGTAATGTGGGCATGAATGGAAGGTAGATCAGTGTGAAGTTTGCTCAGGTCAAACCTACCTTCTACTTCTAATAGCCCTAGCTAGTGCAAATTAAACTTCAGGTCCCCAGAGGGTGTGAATTACCACCAAAGGTTCTCCAGTGTGTTCTCCTTCATAACAAAAATTGAGAGAATCTATAACAAGCATAGGGACTACTGGTCCACAATAAAAACCACTGAATTTGCATATATTTCACTCAAACCTCAGTCATCTTCTGCCTCTTTCTACTTAGATTACTCTCACAACTTTCCCATACTATGGACCCTAGACATGTAAGTACTCTACTACACATTGTACCTCATCAACTCTGCTCCAACTCACCAGTGTACCTTCTTTTGTGAATTAAGTCTGGGATATTCTTCAGGCTAAGTAATGAAGCCAGACATAATATAGATACAGTAATAACATAGAATACAGTCATCTAAAAGATGAATTACTGTCTATATATGACCATCCCCAGGCTAACTACAGTTTCTGAGCTATCTGTATTCACTGTTACATCCCCTGCTAGCTATGGATCCTTGAAAGGGTATGATGACACAAGGTGCAGCAAGAAATGCTTGGTTCCCAGCTAGACCTGCCTGACTAGAAGGAAGAACAGTCCTTCAATAAGATACACAGCAACTGTGGCAGGGCTTCCTGGCCAACAGAAAGGGAATACAACAAGACTACTGCTGCAGTTTCAGTGGTTAGAAGAATCTCTTCTTTAGGCAGCTGCCCTGTACAGTAGCAAGTGGTAACCCAAAGTAGTCTGGGTCCAGCATGTCAGACAATGAAGAAGAGATTCTCAAATAGGGACAGGGGATATACTAGATTCCTAGGTGCCTTCTGACTCAACAATGGTGCAATGGAGGTGCAATGGAGGAACTAGTTTTAGAATTGGGGAAGTGCATGAAAGAGGGAAGGATTTAAAACAGAGATAGAGGCAGAGGACTCACACAAGCCACAAAAAGAAGCACTAAGGCCAATCTCCCTAGTATAGATGTTGTTCACAGCCCACTGCTTGGCAAATAAATAAAAGTAGCACTTCTACTAAAAGGAAGAGGACAAGCCCAACACTGCTTTGGAGCCTGGCCCCTAACAGAGGATTTTTTAAATCTTACCCAAGCTGCAGTTCACCAACTTTGTACAACTATCTATACTGACAAATCTCAGTTTAAAATGCTCTTTGTCCTCCCCTCAGGCTAAAATTCAGGTGAGTCATGACTGCTCACTATTAAAAAGACCAGTTAATGCAATTTAAAATACTATTTCAGAAGGGCTATAAACCAGAGAGATTTTCAAGTATTTTTCAATGTTCAGGAAGCTAAACATTCATTACAAGTGCCTCTTGAAAGTTCAAGGGCGAGGGTCTTCCTGCTCATACTATTGGTAGATTAAAAAAAATCTCTCCCCATAGCAATGCTTCTTATCAGAGTCTGGGGAATCTAAATGAGATGTGAAAAGCAGGAAACAAGAAAAATGCAAAAGTCCATCAAAGTTTCTATCTGAAAGAACCAAAGTATCATACAGAGACTCAAATTGGGCCAGGTACAGAGCATGGTAAAAGCCGGTATTCTAACTCTAGCCTAGAGATATTTTACTGTGCTATTATGCCTGGGTCTGTGACAGAGACAAGAACGGAGAACAGAGCAGGTGTGATCACTGTCTTCAAGGACCTTATAGTCTAAAATAGTCTAATCTTTGCTACTTTCTGCAGTGGATGACAGAGGAAGCGAAGAACAGAATTTAGGGGCTCAGCTATAGTTCAGTGGCAGACCGCTTGCCTAGCACATTAGGTGCTGGATTCAATCCTTAGCACCACATAAAAAATGAATTAAATAAAGGCATGTTGTCCATATACAACTATTAAAAGGAAAAAAAAAAGAAAAAGAAAAGGATTTAAAGCTGAAGGAGGCTGGGGGAAAAAACAGAGAGAGCAAAAGACAGTATGCATAACAATCACTTGAGCTTGTGAAAGTACAGAATCTGGGCTCTGCTGAAGTCTAATAGCATAGGTCTCAGGATGAGCTCAGAATTTCATTTCTCCCAAGTAATACTGAAATTTCATGGGTGGATCACCCTTTAGAAACATTGATCTAGACTAAGCCAAGAGAATTAAAAGAAGGTGTCCCCGCTCAAAACTATCTTCCCAGACATTTCACCATAGAGAGTCATCCCTAATATCTAATATTTACTTTATTCAGATATTAGGTATCAACTAAGGATATCAGGTGTCAACTGAGTGATACCGAAGGCTCCAAGGAAAGGTCTGGGATGAAGGAAAGGGAATGCTGGATGGAGAAGAGTCTAAAGAGAATGGGTTGAGTGCTCCCCCTCCCATCATACATCTTGGAAGCAACAGAAAAAGCAAAGACCAAACTGCTTTTTTTTTTTTTTTTGCAGCTGTGCCTCAGATTCTGTTAGTGCTATTTAAATCTGTTAGAACCAGTTCAGAAAGCTGCACTTCTAAACTTCCTCCAACATGGCCAAGTCTGGCTTGAAAAACAAAGTCAGTGAAGGGAAGACAAACAAAATGAAGCCATAAGTCAAAAGCCAGAAGTGATAAAGTAATGGCATCCTTTATTTATGTAAGAGTATGCAGTGCTCTGCTGAAAAAATGCTATCCAAACTCTTCATTATATTCTGCAATCTTAATTTCTGTTTCATTTACTCTATTTTCCATTTATTGTCCTGGCATCACAAAAGAGATTTTTCTTAAGAGATGGGAGCACTACCCCAGAAAATTTAGAAATGGTCAATAAAAACCCAGAGACTACTTCTGACAGACACATTATTATGGTCTCAGTCCAACTAATAAGAACACTTTGGGTAAATGAACAAACACCTCTGTACTTCAAAAGACTGGCTTCTTTTTTTCCCTTGTTAGGTTTAAAGGCAGTATTTAAGGTGTAGTTTTATGGTGACTTCAAATTACATCTGATGTCTGGGGAAATTTTCAAGATCAATAAATCCAATTTCAGAATAAGAGACAAGAAAATACTTTTACCCATGTACTAACAATAAAAACTTCAAAGTACTAAGATTAGTACTGATTCCATTGCTTTGATTCCTCTTGTTGAATGTGTTAATAAGGCCCTAAGGTATAAAAGAGTAAGTATAAAAGTCAAGGCTCCCAATTTTAAGATACATGGAGTAAAATCTTTTTCTGAAATGCTGTGGTGCTTGATGCTTCTATTATACCACTTAATCCTTAACTTTCTTGACGGTTCCCTCAAGATCTAGTTATCTTTCTCTAAATCATCTGTACTGTGCTGTCTCTCCAATTAGAGACTAAGTTTTTAGAGCAAAAACCTTACCTCCTCCTCTCTGGTCTTTTCCCAAAGAACAACTGGAGTAGCACTAAGCACAGAATAAATGTACAATGGATTTTTTTCATTTAAATTGAAATGCAACTGTTCTGCATTCTAAGTGTCAAGAATTAAATTTCCTTGCTTGGAGTAGAGACCCAATCTCTGCTTTATCATCTTTGCAATGTTTAAAACAGCTACTATCTCTTTCAGAGGTAACTGTTACCACTCCTGAATGCACAATTTGGATGTGGCTTGGAAAGGTCCGAGGATTTAGTAACCATCTTTTAACATTTTCTATTGTATCCCCTTTTCCTATTATTTTCTTCTAAAAATAAAAGGAGACTACTTCAAATACTTTGATGGAGTTTTTTTCAGCAGGGCACTTTCAGAATTTAAGTAGTATAGATGACATGTAGGTATTCTAATATTTTCTTTGGTCCAAAGTATATTAGCCATGAGAAATCATCATATTCTATCTAGCAAGTCTTCATAATTGCATGACATTGGAGATTCTGATAATTACTTAGTTGTATGCTTGTTCCCACTTATCAAGTGGGTTCATAAAAAAGGGGTTATTTGATAACTGCGTACTCTCACATAAAGAAACTTTTCAGAAGCAAGACAATGTTACTTCAAATAAAATCTCAAACCTTCCAGAAGACTTCATAAAATAGGAGGAAAACATCACACTAATCAAATTGGATTTAAAAGCTGTCTCTATTTTTTTTCTAAATTTTTAGAATTCAAATGACCAAAAAAGGTGCTGGTTTAAATTCCAAGCAGGAAGAAAGCAAACTATTAAAGAAAACTAAAAGGCCATGATAACGACTAAGAATTCTTCCACTGTTACAACCACTCTCAGAAAAACAGAATCAAGTAAGCAAAACAATACAGGCTTCCATAGCTTCAAATCCCAAACCAAGCAGTCCTATTCCTGATACCTCTGCCTGAGAACATCTTTGCAAACCCAATGCCAAACCCAGTTACCAGTTGTTTTCTTCAATACCAAAAACTATCCAGATTGGAACTGGTGCCTACCACAGGTAGTAAAGGAAAAACTCCAACAGGATCGATCTCTCCTTCCTAACAAGACAACCAGTACTTGGTCATTTTATTCCCCACTACAATTTTCCATCATCCACACAAATCCATGTATATAGATTTGGACACACAGTGTTCTTTTCAATTTTCTTGGTTCTTATAACAAGCCTGACCAAAGCTGCACCTTTTCTACCTATGACCTAAAGTAACCGGGCCATCTCCACAGGCTCCAAAAACCAGTATTTCTCACTCATTTCTTCTTAGGCACAGTAATAAGTAATTAAAAAAAAACTAGGCATTAGAAGAAAGGTCTAAAGTCTGACTTACCTGCATAAATATCAATTCTAGTGGCATCAGCATCTCTGCAAAATCAAAAGGGAAAAAAGAGAAAAGAAAAAAAAAAGATCCAAATGAGAATATAAAATATCAATCAGCAAAAAAAAATTCCACATACAGTTAAAGCTTTACTTTCACATTTGGCAACAAAATTTTCCTTATGCATCTGTGAAACACTTCAGGATCTTCAAATTAAAATGTATCCAGAGCCTGGATACATTTTTTAAATAGTGATTTCTTGGTGAAAATATCTAAAGAATCATTAAGAACATTTTCCTTTACACATTAAGAAATGACTCAAATGTGTTTTTCACTTACATGACTATAATCATAAAAAAGACGTTCTAAGAATGTCTTGTTTTTCCTTCTTATTGAATTTTTTAAAAATAAAAACTACATAAGCAAAATAAGTAAAACTCAGAAGGTTAAGTGTTGTATGTTTTCTCTCATATGTGGAAACTAGAGAAAAAAAGGAAAAGAAAGGCTACGGAAAGGATCCATTAAAACCAAAGGGAGACTGACAGAGGAAATGGAAAGGAGAGGGAATGATGCTAGGAAGTGACACTGTTCAAATTACATTGTTATATTGTGTGCATGTATGAATATGTAATATCAAATCCTATCATTATATTCAAATATTATGTACTAATAAAAAATGGGAATAAAAAAAAAAGGAAAACTATAATCTCAAGACCAGTGAAAATTTGTATACATACACAAAATGTTATATACACTGCAGTCAGAAAACCAATCCTGAGTTCATAATTTTATCCTCCCTGACATGAAAGGAAATTGGGACATCTCGACTCTAACTCATACAAATTCAGTCATTAATGAAGGCTCCTAAAAAGACTTGGAAATAATTTAGTCCAATCTGCCAACCAGAAGCAAGGAAACCGAGACATAGTTCACTGGTTTTAAATGCACAAAATCCACACAGCACTGGGGCAGTGGCTCAGTGAAAGTGCACGCTTGGCATGAGTTCAAGTCCACACAGCTATATCCATTCTCAATAATATATAAAAAAAATTAAATTTGAGATTGGCAAAATGTGTGCCTGAACGGGTAAATATTTCCACGAATTTCTATTTTACCATATGGTACACAAAAAAGCTGCCTGCCTCAGCACACCATGGTCTTGCTAAGTTAACAAGCAGGAAATTAAAACAAATTCCATTAAGAAACATTGAGTCAATCAGAATTAAAATAAAGTGGAAGTTTTCTGATAGAATACAGTGTTATCTAGCACAACTCCATAAACAACCCAGTTAATAGCAACAAGTAATACTAGTACAGGTTAACTGTACACACACTGGAAACTATAAGCAAGTTCACTAACTGGAGATACATTTAGAACTATTTCTGTGGACAACTCTTACTCTTCCTTCATTACTCACCAACACTGGTCAATAAATAATGCATTTGAATTTTCCATTTGCATTCAAGAATAAGGCTACTTGATACTATAAAATTTTGTTTTGTCATAAAATATTATGTTATTTTTCATAACAATTATAAAATTATTGATTTGGACTAGGATCTCTGTCTATGAATAAACCCAAACTTCTATTCAGTCTTAGAGTTAGGATTCCATCACTCAAGAACTCAGCAAAAAACAGTGTTGAGGGCTGGGGATGTGGCTCAAGTGGTAGCGCGCTCGCCTGGCATGCGTGCGGCCCGGGTTCGATCCTCAGCACCACATACAAACAAAGATGTTGTGTCCCCCGAAAACTAACTAAATAAATAAATATTTAAAAAAAAAAAAACAGTGTTGAAGAGTGTTTCCTTCCAAGAACACTTCTAAGAACGGAAGACATTTTGATAAATAGGAGTCCCCTTATAATAAAACATACATCTGGAAAAGACACAAAACTCTTGCATAGTTTTAAAGATATTAAGTGGCAGAGCGAATTAAAATCACAGCTTATCTGAACAATGAATTTTGACTCCTAAATTTTTATCTTAATTCCCTGCTTTTCACAATTATCTTGCTCTAATACACAAGGAACAGTGGTCTGGGAGACAATAAGTTCACTATTTTTAGGCTAGAACACAAAGAGCAATGAATGAATTTAATTAAGAAACAAGGTGAAAGCATCAATTAGTGTGCTGTTAAAAGTACTTTTAAAAAATTTTTTAATTTTTTTAAGTTATAGTTGGACACAGTACCTTTATTTTTATTTATTTATTTTTACGTGGTGCTGAGAATTGAACAGTGCCTCACATGTGCTAGGCAAGCACTCAATCACTGAGCTACAATCCCAGACCTTAAAAGTACTTTTTTTAGAACTCATCTTAGGAGATATAACTATTACAGATATGTTTTCCTCCAAAGTCTCCAGAGAGCAAAAGCCACAGTATCCCCAAAAGTTTCCATTCCAAGGGGACTCATACGTTAGAAGACTACATACCTTGCATTATCAACCAGTTCAGCAAGAGCACCAAACAAGAATTCATGAGTGGTTCTGAAAAGATAAATAGTCAATACAAGAATTATAAGTTGAACTGACTCCTGATAAGTCAAGATTATAAAATATTTAATTTTTTAAGGAAAAAAATCTAAAATTTCCATTTGCTTTATTGATTTACACAACTGAAATGTAACTTCTCCACAACTCAAGCCTTTCTAGAGCTAATTCCACTTAATGTGTTATTCAGTCCCACCTACTAAGAAATATTTATTCTTCCTATTTTGAATTGAGAAACCCACCCTAAGCATTAAAAGGTTCCTATATGTAATAACTGCTAATAGTAATATTCTACCTAGAAAAATGTCTGTTTTTTTCATTGCCTTAACCTCCTGTTAGTTTTTGCATATCTCACAGGAAAATTTAGGCATACCATTTATGCAGAGATACCTTTACTGAGTTCTGAATTAACTTGGTAGTTGCATATTTACCCAACCCAAACTTTCAGCACCCTCCTAAAGGAAACAACCACTAGCTCCCTCCTTGAAGGGGTTAACTCTACCAGAGTCCCTAGGACCACACCAAGTTCTTGTCCAACTAGAAGCAATTGTTGAAGAGGGTCTTGAATTTCTTCCTTTAAAGTGGACAAAGTTGTATTTTTAGCCAAAATTTGAGAAAGTCAGGATCAATGTCATTCTCTTTCAAAAAGAATATTTTTGCTTATAAATTGCATAAAAGTAATAAGTTTCCTTTTTTTTTTTTTTACTGGTAGATGACACAAAGGTATTGATAAAGTAAACTGCTAACAAGTTATTCATTGAGCATGCTTAATTTACATGTTAAATTGTGCCATTTACCATAATAGTTCTAAATAGCTATGAAAGTAGTGTATATCCACATAGAACCATCTAGAAAAACCACATGGTTTTTAAAGAAAGTACAAAATCAACCCAAAAAATTCATTACCATCATCAGTTGTTAACAAATACCCCAAAATACCCAAATTATTCCTGCAGGCTTCTTCTTCTTTTTTTTTTTTTTTGCATGAAAAATTTCAGCCAAATTTTCAGAGTGAAAATTTCTAAAAATTTAGAATCAAAATTAGATAACCAGCATCATTTAAAATCTCTAGTCACTTACCATACTGTTTCAAACAAACTGTAAAACATTAATGTATAAGATAAACACTCATAACTGAACTGTACAGGAACACTGGGTCTTCCTCAAGTAACTCATTTTTACAAATGTGAATTCTGAATTAAATAAAACTACTGGCTTCTGGAATTTAAGAACTACTCTACCCCATGAGATCAGTGAATATCTCTGTTGCTAATCCAAAGGATGGACCAATAAATAATATATCGTAATAAGATGTAGAAATTTTATCACCAATTCACCTAAGAAAATAGAGCTCAACTTCTTCTGGCTAAAATCCACCTCTTTATTATTTTACATGAAAGAACCAAGTTTCTAAAAGAAAACTTACCTAAGTCATATCTTTAATTATTAAAAATATTTTAATCTTTAAGATTACCATTTTAAATTGTTCAAATTATGAATTAGATAAACAAAAAAAATCATTCTGTATACTCTACAAAAGAAATAGGGAGAAAAGTGCTGGAAAATTAAGGTAATGCAAATTAAAAGTGAATTTAAACCAGGAACAGTGGAATATAACTATAATCCCAGCTATTCAGGGGGCTGAGGCAGGAGGATCAAAAGTACAAGGCCAGCCTGGGCAAAATTAGCAAGAACCTGTTTTCAAAATAAAATAAAAAAGGCTAGAGATTTAACTTGGTGATAGAGTACTTACCTACTTTCCGAGTACTTACCTACTTTCCCTACCAAGTAAATTAGTTTTTTTATACTATTAATTTTTTCAACTTTAAAGATTGCTATACAAAAACATAAAATAACCAATTCTATTGCAATATTTCTCATTTCAACATGAATGTGTACTTTAACATAAGTCAGGGAATCTCAGAAATACAGTTGCAGGGTAGTTGGGGGGGACTGGAAAAACAACTATATAAGACAACAATTTGTACCAGAATGCATTAAACTCTGGGGGGGGGATAAAAAGAAGAATGCTGAATAGAAATTATTGGAAAAACTAATAGACAAACCAAAAATAAAAATAGCAACTATACTTCAGCAATATATATTTCTGATTGTTTCACATGGAAATGAGACATTTAGACTCTAATAAGCAGATCTTAAAAGGGCAAACACAAAGCATCTCTATCTAAATTTTCACTGTCTCTGTACAAAGTGAGAAACACGCCTTGTACATTTAGAACCTAACAAAAAAATTCCAAACAGTCTTCGTTGTTCTACATAGCATCATTGCCATTCTATAAACAAATATTTCAGATAAGTTAACATTTTTTAAAACATAGTTAAGGGATATTTTTGTGATAGCAATACACATCACAAAACGAGCCTTTTGTGATAACTCATGGAACATCAAAGACAATGCTCAGAATCTTCTCTAGAACTCCAAATGATTAATAGTGGATCTTCCAGATGTTACACTCAGAATTGTATTTCTTAAAATCATAGAAATAAAAAACATACCAACAAGTTCCCTCTTTCCCAAATAATATTTCAAAGGTATACTCATTGCTAGCTAGCACTGATGCAGAATGGATAAGTAGCAAAAGAAAATATTTTCTTCACAGAGCTAAAGATCCTTTGGCATGTAAAGCAAAAAAGAGCAACCATCTGGAAAAAGACATTTTAAAAATAAATTCTTCTGCTTTTAACTGATCGTGGCTTTTATACCGCTCATGCCACAATAAAAAGTTTTCTAGCACAGCATTTCTACCGACAAATTCACATGTATGTAAGCTTATTGTGTAAGGAAAATAGTATTCTTGTTTATGATGTCTAAATTTAAAGCACTAGATTACCCACAAGTGCAACACTCAGCGGGGAGTTACTGCTGAGTTCTTGGACGTATTGACAATATTTAATTGCAGAAAATAAAGCTGAGAATTCTGGAGCAACCATTTTACACTCAAATGGCGTTAATATATTTAGAGGGTAAACCTATGTTTCAACTGGCTCTAAGTCATAAGAAATTGAAGTCTCTGGAGGTTCCCCTATATTCACTTCACATATAGATAAAACAACCCAGAAATATCATAACCAAAGTAAGTTATTAAATGTACCAACAAGAATAGACACAAAAAGTAACCATTTTACACTTAAGCATCTAATTCTATTAGACCACTAAGAAGTATGGCAAACCAAGTGACTTAAGATATACATCTCATGTTAAAGGGATGTCACTATCGCTATATCAGAAATAGCAGTCACAAAACTCACTACTAAAAAAACTCTAACACGGGCTGGGGTTGTGGCTCAGCAGTAGAGGGCTCACCTAGCATGTGCGAAGCTCTGGGTTCTATCCTCCGCACCACATAAAAATAAAATAAAGGTACTGTGTCCAACTACAACTAAATAAACAAAATATTTAACAAGAAAAAAAACAGCATAAAAAGTCTTTAATGTAAAAATCTTTAAGATATCATCATATAAAAAATACCAATATTAAAAGAAACTAGACTTTCAGGCTATCATGAGAATTTCCCAGACCACCTTTTGTCCTTAACACTGATGCAAACAAAGAATAACTTCTAACAGTTACCATAGGACATAATACAAAAAAAACAATTTGACACATTTACAGTCTCCAACAAATTCTGAAGAATTTACTAAGAATTTATCTGCATTATGACTAACACCAAACAGCAAGTTGCTGCACTGACCAAGTATTTGTTTACATAAAGCTAATATAAAAAGAATAATCACCACTTAATGTTTACCATATACAATGGATGAGCTAAGAACTTCATAAACTTTAACATACTCTTCATATACACTACCAGATTATCCCCCACTTGTGGATGAAGAACCCAAGGTTCAAGAAGTTGATTTGCTCAGGGACACAGCAAGAAGTCAAACCTACGGTTGGTTGGCTCCCAAGCCATCTTTTCACTAAACCACAATGATTTTACACCGTTCTAGCCTAGGGTGTAAGCAAAGCACAATTTCTTTCATAATTAACAATATGGCAATATTATAAATGTCAGACATTCTAGAATATTTTAAGATCTTAACAGAGCAAAGGTGGTTCATAAGACCAATCTCTCCTTCTTCAAAGTTGACTTATTGAACTACTTAATATATCAAGAGTAATAAGTCACATGATGTGAAAATTCAAATTTTTCAATTTCCTCTAAAAATGAACTTCCAATCAAGCCACCAAGATGAAGATCTCTCTTCAAGTTAGCTACAAACAAAAGGCTTAATGTTGGTGTTCTAGGATCCATTCATTCTTTTGGTAGGACTAGTAAAAAGTCTAATAAAGTAGACTACCTAGTCCTATCACAGTAGAACAAATTTGAAGGTCAGAGCTATGATCCAGATAAGAAATTCCAGAGCTTTCAAAACAATTTTCCAAGCTTCTGTTAAAGCAAGTGGGTGGTTCTGTTTCAACATGTGTAAATAAAATTAACAGAAAATTCTCCAACATCACTTTATAAACAACTTAAGTTTGCTCGTTTGCCTTGGCATTGACCACCTATTGCTTTTTGTGGGTGTTTTTGGGGGGTATAGGGGATTGAACCCAGGGGCACTTAATCATTGAGCTACATCCTCAGCCCTTTTTATATTTTTATTTTAGAAACAGGGTCTCACTAAATTGCTTAGGCCTAAATTGCTTAGTCTGGCTTTAAACTCACAATCCTCCTGCTTCAGCCTCCCAGCTGCTAGGATTACAGGCATGTGCGACCATGCCCAGCTTCAGCTATTGTTAATAAACTACAAAACAGAATAAAAAAGAAGGGGGGGGTTTACATATAATCCTCAAATTAGAGACTCAACTGACATACATTAAATTTGAAGACTTTTAAAGTGAGAAGTGAATCTTTGTTTTTTAGACAATAGGCCCTTGAAAGTAAAATGGATAGAAGCAGCACTGCCTAATGGTTAAAAGCACTAAAGCACTGTAGTCAATAAATCTTTTTGTCTTAAACCCTGGCACCTTTAATCTGCCAATTAGCAATTGTGTAACTGTTAGCATGTAATTTAATCTGAGCCTCAGTTTCCTCAAACACAAAACAAAAATAATCCTTATCCTGCAGGTCTACTTTACAGATTAGACAAAGCTTAAAAGTTACTGGCATAAAGCAATTAACTGCTGTTAACTATTATCATTATTATATTGCATAGTCCTTGATTAAGCTGGAACCCAAACTTCTGAAGTCCAGTTCATGGTCTTCCAAGATTATCATAAAATCTATAATTCCAAACTTGCCCTATCACTCCAAAACTCAAAACTGAGACAGCCATTTTTCCAACAATCACCCATGAACATCCTAGTGGCCTTCACCTACTTGTTCTTAATATGGCAGGTCAAATAAAAAGGATACTCAAGGTTTTGCCCAAGGCTCTACTGGCACTTTTCATAATGATTTCATCTAACTAGGTTCCAGATTTATCTTTTGTAAATGTGAGAATTTGAGTAGATGGCCTCTGTGGTACCTTCTCTAAAATGATATTCAATAAAAAGCTTCCTAAACAAAACCAAACCACACCCTCAGCACTTGGCAAATCACTTCATTATTCAGAAAAAAAAAATTTATTTCCTTGATCAGAAAAATAACAAAAATATTACAGACATTATGGGATCACAAATAATACTGACTTTTCCTCAAATGGCTAAAATTCACTGTACTACTTACTATTGGATCACTGAAGTCTACACTCTCAATTCTAAAGGTGGTTCTTAATTGGGAACCATTCATTTAGCTGTTCAAAACCTCCTCTCCAGGTACTAAAATGGTAGAATACTTACCTTCTAACAGGTAATATATGAAAATGCTAAAGTAGTTTTGATCCCACTAGGTAATTTCAGAGAGACTGGGTTTACCCTAAAATATTCTATACCAAATTGGAGTGATTGTAACTTGTGAACTCAAGAACCACGAACACAGTTATTTTGTGATTTACCACATTTGGGGAAAAGATTATCTAAATCAATGAAAACAAGTTGCCATTTCCTGCTGAACTTATACAAACTGTATTGTATGTACAGGAACCAATCTCCCAAGAAGCTAAAGACAATCGTTTGCTGAAAAAAAAAAAGAATCTTCTCATAAGTTGTCTCTTATGTTTTTGTCTTCTTTTCTTGTTAGAAAGGAAACATTTGTTATAAACCCAACTGTTTAAGCCGTTGTCACTAAAAGTTGAGTTGATGCTAAAATAGTTCAACTTTTGGCGATCCGAAGAGGAGTACTTGATGGATTCCTATTAAATACTCAATACATTGACTCCGAATAACTAGTTTGTATTAGAAAAATTTGATCCCATAAATGAAAATCAGATTCTTCTGGATTAGCAAGAAATATTTCACTGATCTCAGTTCTTCAACAGAGCTCAAGACATCCTATGATACATCCCAGAGTGAAAAAGCAAAAATTTCTGGGGAAAGGATTTCCATATTAGTAGCAAGGAGTTATTGGTGACCTCAGAGGCACCTATAGAATACTTACGAATTTGTGTGTAGATATTCAAATGTTAGCTGAGCTCGATTCAGACTGCTATAATTTGTGAAAGCCATAACTGCAATGAGGTCTCCAGTCTTTTACCCAGGGAGAAATATATATAATGGAGCAGATTTTCCAGGATTCCGTCCAGTTAAGATTACGTCTGTGCTCCTTAATGACAGTTGAAACAAGTTACCTAGTATCTATCCAAAATATATTCAGATTTTTTAAACAGAAATTGATCTCAAATCTGTTTTAATCTTCTCGTTGACTATGATGTAATATTTTGGAAAAAACTACGTCATAAACCTGCAGTCCTAAAGAACTTTCAGAATTAAGTTTCGATAATTCAGACAATCCGAGTGCAAAGTGGATTGGTCCAGAAGTAGACAGTCCTTGAGTTGGCAGTTTGTCACTGCTTCATCTTCCAAGTCTTCGCGTTCTTCGAGGCTTTTTTTAATTTTTTGTTCCCCTAAATTTCCTTTACTAATCCGGAAATTTACCAATCCGGAAATTTACCCACTTCTGTCATAAAACTGAACATTCACCCATGTCTTCGCCACCAGGGATGCCAGTCTTTATATAGGCCCTAGGCTGGAGACCGCGACGTCGATGTTGTACATATGGCGCTAGCTTTACCACTTCCCAACTGAAAGAGCTGCTAGGCACAGACTGCGATTTCTTTTTTCAAAACCCGACCAAACCTAGCTTGCTGTCCCGCCCCAATCTCCACAGGGTGGTGGGTCAAATTACCTCACACTGGCCCACTGAAACGCCTCACAATTAACCCGCCCAAATCACCTCAGGCGGCCGCGCCCCTCCCCCACTCCCCTCAGCGGCCTCAGCCCCTCAATCCCTTCCCGGGCCTCGGTCCTGCGGCCGCCTCCTCACGAAGAGGAGTTAGTCTCAGTTTTCAAGGCCCGGATCGAGGGCAGTAGCAAGCGCACCACCCGATCGGGCGTTGCCTGGAGCTCGCAGCTGCCTTTGTCCCTCCCCGCGGAACTGGAACCCAACAACCGCAGCGCGCTCTTGGAACCATGTGCTGCCTCCGCCTCCGCCGCCTCCGCCGCTGCCGCCCGCGCGCCGCGCAGGATAAGATGACAGGACTCAGAGCCACGAAATTCGGCGTTTAGGGCTTTTCTGCTGCCTCCGCTACAGCCACCACAGCCACTGCTTTGTCTCCGCTAGCGTTTACAGCCCCGGCCACCTCGCGCACTACCCGACGCCCCAAGCCCCCGAGGCCTCCGCGGCCCATTCCGCCAATCAAAAAGCAGCAGGTTCTCCCGCCCCCTCCCTGATACCCCGCCTCCTGATTGGCGGGCAGCGTGCCCCCACGTGACCGGATCTTGGTTGGCCGTCCCGCCCCTGTCACGTGAGAGTGCGCTCCTCTCTTCCTGCTTTCTTGACCCTCTCCGCCATTTAAAGAAACAGTACCGGGGGCGGGCCGAGCGACGCAGCCGGGACGGTAGCTGCAGAGCGGACCGGAGGAGCCATCTTGTCTCATCGCCGGGGAGTCAGGCCCCTAACTCGAAGAAGCCCTGGCGCGCCCTCCCCCCCTCCCCGGTCTGGTAGGGCGAAGGAGCGGGCGCGCTGTCGATCGAGCGATCGGTTGGCGGCTCTTTCTCCTGCTCTGGCATCCAGCTCTTGGGGCGCAGGCCCGGCCGCCGCGGCGCGCGCCCGGTGGCCGTTGGCGCTCGCGCCGCGTCTTTCTTCTTGTACGCAGAACTCGGGCGGCGGCCTATGCGTTTGCGATTCGACGAGGAGTCGTCCGGGTGGTCGGTGGCGGCGGGCAACTCCTCCGCCCCGCTCCCGGGGAGGCGGCGGCAGCGGCTGGATTTGGCGCGGCCGGGGAGGCGGGGGTGGCCGGGGCCGGCCTGGAGGCCTGGCGCCACCCTTCCGGGCCTGCAAGAACCCAGTTGGGGGCGCAGGAGGGAGCTGGAGGATGGTTGGTGGTGGGCTTTCTACTTTGCCTTTTCCTCCTCATGCCGCCTTAGTGAGATGCGGGATCTCTGGCAGCAGCTCCGGGGTGGGGATACGAACCCTGGAGTAGAAGAGCTGGGTTTGCTTCCGGGCCTATCCACCAGCTGGCCGAGTGACCTTAGGCAAATCACTCTGTAATTTGTCTGCGCCTCAGTTTCCTCCTCTGCCTGTCGTTGTGTGTGGGGTTGAAAGCGCTTTGTAAACTATAAGGCGTTGGTATACGTAAAAGATGAATATTGTAATGTTTTTTGAGTTGTAAGAAAACAACAATTACCCATCTGTGGGATTTTGAACCTGGGAACCTTAGATTGGAGTTGGAGATCCCTAAAACTCCCAGATACTGTATGCAGAAAATTTGTGGGAACATGCATTTGTAAGGAATGATAATCCACAGCTGGCAAGTTTTCAGAGGGTCCTGTGACCCAGAAGAGTTAAGATCGATTCCTGTATGCCACTTCCTTTATGCCACGGGGAGGAAACTGAGGCCTAGATGTCATTTGGGTTCCTTCACTACCAATTTGAAGCCCCCCCCGTTTGAGTCCCTGGGATATGTGAGCTGTTTCTATGCATAATGGATGTTGGGGGTAACAATAAGCCCTGCTGGCTTCTGTTCTGAATCCTTTCTTTTCACCATGGGGTGCCTGAATGATGGCTGATGTATATGGTACAATGGCACCCAATGTAAAGCAGCTACAATTAAGGGTGGATGTGTTCTGTAATATCAAGCATATTTAATCTTTGGCCCAGAAGTTCTTTGTTTTTTGCTGTTTATACTGATGTCTGACTACGTTTCTTTCATTGACCATTTTGCTATGTTTTCACTTGCTCCTATTTTGTGTCCCTAGTTTGTGTGTTTGGTAGTGAATAGGCTTATTTTTAAATGGTGCTGCCATGTACAGCTAATTAATGGTGCACATGGATTTTTAGCAAGCAGGCTCACTGGAACAGGCATGGAATTCCTGAAGATGTTTTGGGTTTTTTCTTTATTTGAAGGCTAACATGCTCTTAAAAGTTCTGTTAAAACTCCTGCTGAACCTCAAAAATCAGATTTGGTAGCGATTTGAAACTTTCCTGGCCTGCCATGTATTCTATTGGTTATAAGTGTGATAAGGAGGCAGCCAAAATGCCATTTTTTGTTTCTTTGTTAATTGTCAGCTGCTTTTATCAAATTCCAGTCTGTTATCCAGCAAACACTAAAAATGTTTGAATAGTTGGATTTCAAACATTTTAACTTTGTGGAGTGGTGCTTACCAAGTGGTACAGCTCTAAGCAAGTGAACATGAACACTTTTAAGTGTAGTTTGTCTGATTAGATGTTAGCTAGCCAGTTCTGCTGTTTCATTCAAATGTCTGGAAAAAAAAAAATCAGTTGACTGTTCCTTTACCTAAAGGGCAGAGACAAATGATTCACTCCCAGAAAAAATGACTTTTTTTTTTGAAGAAAACTGTGTTGGTCTTTAGCTCTTTTGTAATTAAGTCTGGATGTACCTCAAAAGAATCTTTAGACTGTGGTGATAAGAAGCTTTCCTCCAGAGAAAGGGGGAGAAAAACAACTGGAACTCAAAGCTTGAAATTCTGTAACAAAACATGAGATGTCCAGGATTGGAGGTTGAAAAGGTTTTGCTACAGTGTCCTGCAATCATTGAAGCAGATAACTTTTAGTAGCTGCAGCCATGGACTCCAGATTTTCAAGAACTGGACCTGCAACCCAGAAGAGCTTGTCAGGATGTGGCAGGAATTCTGGAGGTAGTTTTTTTGGTTTGGTTTGTTTTGTTCTGTTTTTAATTTGGGGACTGTTGACCTTGCTGAGAGAAAAGAGGCAACTGAGCAAGCACTGCCACCAGCAATGTTTATGGGAATTAGAAGACCTGAGTTTCTCTTCAGAACTTCTGTGCAAACTGATAACACTCCATCCAAAGTGGATTACGGTACTTGACATTTTCCAAAATGCCCTATTTCACCATCTCTGCACTTTTGTTCATACTCTCTTCTCTACACTGGAAATGCCCTTCTCTTTCTTTACCTGTCAGAATTTTGCTATTTTCTCAGCATCCAGCTCACTCTCCTCCCCATGAATCTCTTAACTTTAACCAGATTGTTAACCTTTAAACATAACATATTATTATATCTTTCATCTGTCTTTGTATGCAAATTCTTGTAGTTATTTGCATGCATTTGTTCTCTTTCTAGATAGCAAATCCTTTGAAAAGGACCTTGTTTTATGCACCTACATACCACTACCTCTGATGAAGCATTTATTACAAAGGAAGACTTTAGAGAACAGGCTGTCTCAGAATCAGTTGAGTGTATGCTTAATCACTGTTTAATAACTAAAATTTTTCTTGATTAGAAGAAAAGTCACTAAATATTCTAGGCCCATTTCTATCTTTATTTCATGTTTTATTTTTTAATTCTAATTTTTTTGATGAGAGTACTGGGGATTGAACCCGGGCGGGGAGGGGGGGGGTACATCCCCAGTCTTTATTTTGAGGTAGGTCTCCTTAAGTTTCTGAGGCTGTCCTTAAATTTGTGGTTCTCCTGCCTTAGCCTCCTAAGTTGCTGGGCTTAGCTTATAGACATGCACCGTCTTACCAGTTTAATTCTAAATTTTAAAAGATATAGGAAGCCCTCGGGCATAAAGAGCAATTGATATGTTGAAGGGAATTTTTTATACAGAAGCGGGCAAGAACTGAGGTCTTACTCCCTCCTACTCAAAATGTTTAAAGTTAGGGCAGCTAGGAGATGATTTAAAAAGGAGGAAGGAAGAAAGGCAATATGGTTTCTTTTTTGTATATAAATTTTAAATTCACTATGTGCCACCTGCATAGCCACTTCCTTCTCTCTAGCACCTGAGCTCAGCAGCTGGAATACCATCAAATTACTGCCCCAAAATATGGGTCTTGGAGCAATTGCTTTTTGCTGCATCTCTGAGACAGTTCGTTCTGAGAAGGCAGGAGGTCTTTGCCAAAGAAGTCTTTCAGTTCTTATTAGTAATTGCTAATCAGACCTTTGTGTTTTCCTTTTGGATTTGCTCTCCTCGCTCACACCAGTTTATCATCTGTCAGCCTCTAAGCCAGGCTGGTCAAGAATTAGTATCTATCAGGCAGCTGTGCTACTAGCAGACTCTCCCCAGTCTTAGAATTCTGTATTTATAGTTCCATGCATTTGTTATCTTACTTGTTTTATCCCTGCCCCTTCTAGTCCTGTGCCTCCTGATTGCTGAGTGTTCACCTGGACCTTCTGACCACCTTCCTTCTGCTAGACCATCAGCCTACAGACCTGGTACCTGGATTTTTGCTCATGGTGATTCCTGCCACTTTACTACTGAAGAAGGCATCATTCCAGTGGACACTGTGACCCAAGAGGCATTCATCCATCATGATGTGGCCTTTACCTCCACTCCTTTCCTGTTGTACCCAGAGTCAACACAGCCCTTTATAGTGTAGTCAAGAGTCCTGAAGCCAAATGGCTGAAGCTATTTTATCACAAAGGCCCAGTTTTTTCCATGAGTGTACATTTCATTTCTTCAGTTAAAGCCTTCAGAAAGACACAATAAAGTTGGACCAGGGGATTTGTAATTGTCAACTATGTCAGAAGAAATGAAACATCTCTTTGAGAACAGCATTAGACCATGCCCCCCCAATCTCAAATGATTGAAGTTCATGAACTAACTGTCTTGATGGAATCCCATCAAGGTCACTGAACCCTGTTTTTTTCTACATCAAATCTGTAGTAGCCTACTGAATGAGAAAGTAGATACTCTGACCCATTGGGATCAAAAGAAGGCACAATGAATTCCTCATAGCATCTTCTTTGGGATTACTCAGGAACCAGAACTCTTCACAAAACATAAGAAATTCTACTAAGGAATCCCTTTACCTAATGGCATCTCACAAGACTACAGTCAGACTCAAGAAAAGGCCTCTTGATACATCAAGATAGCACCTATATGGTAATCCCCTATGTTTACCTAGCACTTTACAGTTTCAAAGCACTTTTACATGTATTTCAGTAATCAAAATAACACAATAATGTATCCCTTTTTTAAATGAGGGAACCCGAATTTAAGAGGTAAAGCAGTTAACCAAGGTGACTCAGCTACAAAATAATAGAGGCCAAGCCTTCTGACTCCCAGTCCAGTATTGTCCTTGGCATTAACTTACCCACAGTGTTATAATGGCTGGAGATAGGGAATTCTAAAAGTTTTCAGCTTGATCTGGTGACCCCTTGAGGATATTTTATGTATAATCATGTGATTGGTACACTTAGATCAGAATTACATGGCAGTATCCCTAGGGTAGAGAAGCAAACTGTCTATGGTGGTAGATTGTCCAGTCAAAAAAAGCATGTTTTCATCAGTAACAAGATTGCCCAATGTGAAACAGAAAGCAACTTATAGCTCTTCAGTCCATTTTTTATGATCTTCTCGAGAAGATCATAAAAAATGGCCTAATTGGTTAGGAATCTTGTTCATATCATGTCTTTTTGTTGTTTAATACTAATAGACACAGGGAACTTATTTATAGTCCTCTGTCCCAAAACTAATATTTACAATATGAACAATTTTTTTTCCTCTGTATATGGTAGATAAGTATCTTGTAGAACTTCTAATTCTGTAAGATGTATCCCTTCCTACAATGCAGTGTAAAATATTAAAGGAGCTCAAAAGACTTGGCAGCAAAGAGGTCCATTTAACTCTTTTGCCCCTTATGTCCTGAGTTTAATCAAACAGGGTTTTGTTTTGTTTTTTGGCAGCATTCCTTTTAATGGAATGAAAAATTGCTTTAGAGCAGTATAACCAGGGCTTCCTGATTACCAACAAATTGACCTAGAGACCCATAATAAACATAGTATCTTTTGAAAACCGTATTCTCATACTTTGTCTTTTTATTTTTCCCAACATTGAGCCTCTTAACACTCAAAATAAATACCCAGTCCTTTTTATTTTTTCACTTTGACACAGTCTCACTAAGTTGCCAAGGCTGACCTCAAACTTGCTCTTATCCTTCCTTAGCCTCCCAAGTCACTGGCATTATAGGTGTGTACCAGAGTACCTGGCTCTCATATCATTAACTGAATTAGTATGTCTATTATCTGAGGATCCTATATGTTGATCATTACCTTTGTTTTGTGTTAAGGAATCCTTTAGAATATTTGTGGGACTATAAGGTTGGGGAATGGGAGAAAGTTAATTCTGCCTCCCAAAACTGAGTTTCATGACATTTAGTATACTTCTCCCTAAAATTGTGCTATAAACTTTGTTGCATCTCAGGTGAGTGAGGAGGTTGGGAAACGGACAGGAGGAAGAGACAAGAAAAGGAGAAGTGATAAGAGGAAATATTTTCTTAGAATTTGAGTTGTGGCTCATAGAGGTGTTAGCAGTGCTTAAAGAAAAGTCATCGAGCCACCAGCTTCTTGAAGTTACATTTACAAACAGATGGATGCATTTTGCATGTATATGCAAAAGCCCCACTGCTATTGCAACTAAGAATTAATAGTCTTGTTCTCTGGTAGTCATAAGCCTGGCTTTAGGTATCAATTTGTAGGAGACTTGATCTTTAATTTCATCAACCTGTAAGGGGTCCATATGAGGGAAAGAATGAATAGAAAAAATCTTGTCTTACCATAGACTTTGCTTACCTAGTTTCTGGTTTCTGTGACCTATTTTTTGTATTTCAGCATTTTGTGAACAGCTTATTCTTAGATCATTGGTTTTCCAAAGACTTGTGGCCATGAAGTCCTTTGAATGAAAATATAGAAGCCCAGAGTAAAAGTGAAGCTGCTCTAAATGAAGTAGTGAAGCAGAAGTGGGGGTCTGCAACCTGCCATAACCATCATCCTTTACCACCATGGTGACATCAAAAGAGACTTCCTTGCAACATGTGGAATTCTTCAGAGCAAAGTTTGAAAACAACTGCCCCAGATGACGTGTTTGAGCTGAGTGGCATTCTAATCTTTTGTGTACCTTCTCTCAATATGGTCCATATTCAGTTGATGCTGAACATTCTTATGAATATTTACTGCTGACTTAGGAATGTGCAAGAAATGACAAAGTGCAAGAAATGCCTTTGCCCCCCAGAATGGTCATGTGGGCTGAAAATAGTGTCAAATGAACCTTCATTAATAGCCCTCCATCCCAGATGGACTTAAAATCACTCCTGGAATTGGATAGACCCAGAGAGCAACTAATATGCACCCTACACTGACAAATCCCACTTACCAACCTTCATAAACACCAGATGTACTACTGGTACTGAAGTACATGAATGATATCTTAGACCTTCCTTGGATACATGAAAAACCTACAGGTTGATACTGAAACTGATTCCTCATTGAGACCATCTTAAACCAACTTGTGCATTTGACCTCTCATCATTAACCATGGTACTATACTTCATATGCAAGGGATAACTAACTATGAAAGCAGAATCCAAATACTGGCAGCATTTCCCAAAGGGGCTCAGTACCTGGTTATCATTCATCTTTTCAAACTACAAATCACTATATGACTCAACCAGTGGTAGTTTACACTGCTCCTTGGTTTATATTCAGTTAACCGTTGTTTCCAGGACAAGTGAGCCTTTAAAAAAGTTGGGTTTTTTGTTTCTTTAATTTTAATTTTCTCCATCACTTGGCATATCTGCTTGTTCTACAAAATTAATATGAATACTAGTCTCTAACTACATGTAACAGCTGATCTTCAAGACAATCTTTGGACATCCCCTCTCATGTGATTTTAAATGTAGCCATTTGGAAAATTTTTCTTATAGCCAGTGAGAAATGTTCTTGTAATATGAATCTTTTGTGCCTGGTACCATCAACTATATGTGCTAGCGATAGTTAAACTTAGGCCCTTTGATCAGACCATGGTAGCCAACTCACTGGGCTACATTTTTGTCAGACTGATATAGAAAAAAAAAAATACATCAACAAAGGATTTTAATACTTAAAACTTTTGTCCTCGTGGATATCTTAAATCACATCTGTCTCAATACTGCTGTTTTATACCAATTAAAAGTGGTTGGCTTTATTCCTTTCTGTGAGATACTTTTAGTCATTAGGACAATTTATTTCTGTAAGAAGGATTCAATTCTTGAATTCCCAAATCATATCAAATGAAGAGACTTCGATTTGTGTCCTGAGAAAAATCTCATCCTTTACTGCACAATATAAGGGCCGGCCATCCTCAGCCACTTTAACAAATGTACAGATTCAACGCTGGAAATGTTTTCTTTATGTCCTTGTTTCTTAGCCTCTAGATTAATCGTGATTATGTCATTCATTCTACAAATCATCAAACAAGACTTAGTCCTGTTTCTGTAGACTGCTTACCCTCAGCACATTAAATCTGGATGAATATTCTGCTTATATATACAGCTTTTATATCTTCAAGCTCACTTTTTCTGCTGTCTTCAGATTGTCAAGTTGTCAGGTTTTTTCCCCCATGTGCTTTTCCTGTACCTTTCGGAAAAAGACATTTATCTACACTTCCAGTTATTCCCTCTGATCCTATCATACTCAATCAAAATGAAGGGTTTAATATGAGAGTGATCATCTGCTCAAGAGTCAAATGTATCCTGTGCTTAAGAATTGGTAATTAAGAAGGCAAAAAGCCCAAAACTTAAACCCAGGAGTTTGCCTACTATCTCCACACCTCAAATCTTATCCAAATCTTTCAAGAGTGCCATCCAACCAGTCTGAGGCCTTGACTTGCTTGTAAGATGACTCTCAGAGATGAGCTCAGTTACAGAAGATGAAGACTTGATTACCAAAGAAAGTAGGGCCAACTTTGACAAACCTGGCTCTGCTGACCCTGCTGCTCCCAGATATAGTGTAAACTGATAAACAGACCCTCAGGTCTGGATTGGATATGGCCTTTGAGCTGGCTGTTCTTGGGCAAATGAACAGGAAAATGAGAGCTGCTATACCTGACTAGCCCTTTAAGATCAGAAAATGGTATTCAGAGTAAACCCTGTGGAATAATTCTGAAGTACCCAGGGCAAAAACTAATTTATAGAACATTTATTAATCTGCCATATTATATCCTGTCTTTTGGTATGGCTGGCCCTGTTAAAGTTGCCCTGCTTGTCAATTTACCTGTCTCAACTCTTAACCTGCCTTTTTTAACATGTTTCTGCAATCAGACTGAGAAGACAATAGCCAATTTCAGCATATCTTGTGCCCAATTCCATCAAGGATTTCTGAATGGAAGCAGCCCATACTTCACCCCAAAAGGACTTAATGTTCACAACAGGAAAGGATCATGCTGCATACTCCTAGTAGTGAGTAAACTACACTTGACCATTTTGGGCACCTGGGACCTCTTCTGCCAGATCCGGAAGGGAAAAGTACAGCAGATGGAAAGCAAATCCATTTCTCTCTTCTGCAACAACAGAAATGAGTCTGGTTCACCAGTACTCATAGGAATGTACCAGTTCAACTTGGCAAAAGACTTAAAGGAACACAAGAAAAGTTTTCCACTGAACTTAATAATTTATCACTGACTCATATAGCCTTGCAAAACTACTTGCCAATAGGAACCTAGTGGTCCTACTTCATGTCACGAAGATAATGGGACTCTCAGACTCAGCTGAGTTTGCTTGTATTGAAACTCTGGTATCATCCAAAGTACCCTATTGGACATAAATTACTATTCCATTCAAATGTATTATAGACTTCCTGAGGACATGAAAACCATCCCTATGGTAATTTTTAAAACAATTTTATTACCAGTGAAGAAACAATGCCAGCATTCAAATTCATAAGCAGAGATCAAGTTTTTTCAATATCTGGTCATATCCAGAACATCATTTGTTTTTGATTGCCCAGCATCATTCCATCTCATTGTAGCAATTGGAACCCTATCTTCCTATTTGCAGTCCACGTGATTTGGATAGTGTGAGCCTTGGGCTTCAGGGTTATACATGTAATTCAGACCTCATCAATCAACAAAATCCATGTCCTTGATCATAGCTATTGGTTCAGGAATGGTTGTTTGGCTCAAGTTGGTCTATTGTTAACCCTAGGAGTTTTACTGAATTGTGAAGAAGTTTTCTTTATGGAGGTGCTTTAGCTTTGTAGAATGAAAAATTCAAACCAATAAGGCCTATCACGACGTTGCATGAGCCACTCTGAGAATGAAGCCAGTGCAAAGGAAAACAGCCAGAGATGGAGAGACTTGAGTCCTGATGACAGCATTTGTGCCCCTGGATCCAACTGTGCCTGAAGCTAGTATATCCCCTGGACTTTGCAGTTATGTGAACCAATAAATACCCTTTTTTGCTTATGTTACTTTGAGTTGGGTTTCTATTACTTGAAAATGAGTCCAAACTAATACAGTACTTATACAAACATTGAAACTTGAAAGGTCCAAGGCTTTATTAAACTAAGGTTTATAGCCTCACTGATATTTTCTAAAGGTAAAGAAAATGAGACAAGGACTAAGAGAATATTTAAATTACTACAGAAGGATAAAAATTACATGGTAGAAAATAGAACACCTAAATGTCCATCAGTAAAGGATTGGTTACATAAAATACAATTGAACCACATAAGAAAATCTACTGTTAAAATGATCAAGGCACATTTGTTGGGAATGGACATAGAAAAATGGCCATGATATATTAAGTGAAACAAGTTATTGATAGAAAAATACATAGTGTGAACTCATTTGTATATGCTTATATTTGTAAATGCCTAGAAGTCTATTAATGGCTTTCTTTGAACAGTATAGATTACACGAGAGTTAACTTTACACATTTCTGTATTTGAATATTTTACACTGCCACATTACTTTTTAAACTTTATTTAAAAAATAAAGAATTTTTAAAAATTTAGTGCTTACTGTTTGACCTTGGTAAGTTACTTAACACTGAGCCTGTTTTTTTTCAAATGATTAAAAATGCCCACCTTTATATAAGTGAACATTAAGATACATATTTTTATGTATTGCTATACTTCTCATTGAGAAACTTAGAGCTTGGTAATTATTACTTTTTAATTTGTTATATTTAATTGTCACTTTTTTTTAGTAGATCTCAATGTTTGAGTGTATTTCCTATCAGAACTTTATAGTGTTCTTCAAAGATTATTCCAGTTCTCAAGTGATGTTAACCTTATTAAGACCCCCTACTGCAGTATCTATATTAGGCAGAGAGAGGGAAGTAAGCCACCTTTTTTTAAAACCTGAGATACTCATATCACTGCACTCAAGGTCAGTAATGACCTTTTGACTGCTAAATCCATTACATACTCATCTTACCTGAACTTGCAGCAGTACAAACAACTCCCACCAGCGTCTCAAAATGTTCTGTGACATTTTCCATTTTCTTCCCAATTTCCTGGTAACTGCTTCATTGTAATTTCTTTCCTTTTCTCCAACACATTAATATTGGTGTAATGGACAACCATTGCTTTGGCCTGCTCAAAATCACTTTGTTTATTTCAATGATAAAACCCCACTCTTCCTTTGAAAAGCTACTTCCCATTTTAGTATGAGTATAGCAAATTACCCTCTAAGATTTGAGCAGACCAAACTTCTACTCCTACCAAGACTTTGGATCTTCAAAAGAAGAGATGAAAAATGATAGGAATTGAGTAGTTCTGATGGTAGTGTCCCAGAGAATACACTGATGTAAGATACCCAAAGAGCCCTGAATCCTGTTCTCAAGTCTTAGTTATCCAGATCTGCCTGATTGTAGACTATTATTTATGCTCTGTATGAGTTCTTTTTGTCAGACAAAATGTTTTTGATTGTTTATAACCAAATAAATGAATAATTACAAAAATTGTTAATAGAGTAAAATGGCAGGCTTCAGACCCTCCTGAATATATGGAGGATCTCAAATTGATTATTGCACTAAGACTAAATTAAAAGGCAGCAATAAATCTTTCTCTGTTCCCAGGGGCTTGAGTAGGGAAGTCCGCTGTGGCAAAACAGCTAGTAAAAGAATTCCTTCTTGTCATTTGGATTCATACGCCTAATGCGGGCAGAATTTGGAAACCCAGGTAGCTGTTGACAATAGGACAATTTTAAGTGAATAAAGAAAGCCAAAACCATAGGACATGAATGGTTACTTAGATTTCGTTGGATAATTAAAGTGAAGAGACTAGAATAACCCCAAACCCAGAAACTTTTTAGGAAAAGAATAAAATCCAGGGTCTTTCTCTGTCCAGGATGAATAAATGCCTTCGTGCTTAAGTCCAAACTAGCACTTAAAAGTTCATTTCCCCAAATTGCTAAAGTACAATGCTAGTTGAGTTTGTAAGATATTAAGATTTCTTGTGACAGAAAAGAGTGTTGATCTGAATCTGGGAGGACTCAAATTCCAAACCTCCAGATATCTCAGGAATGAAAGTTTGGCTCATCCCGTTTATCAAATATCTTTGGAGGGAAAAAAAATGTATATATATGTATGTATGTACACACACAAGAGATACAGATACAGTTCTGTGTCTCTATAACTACATCACACCCAACAAACACTATTGATAGAAAAGTGTATAGTGTGAATTCATTTTAAAATGCATGGGGTTTTTTGGCGGGAGGACTTTTTTGGTTTGGTGTTTGGAGGGTTTTCTCCCCCTCAAAATCTGCTCTTCATGTATTCCCTTTGTTGGTAAATCATACCAAGTTCCACCTGTTTCTCAGTTACTCTTGATGCTTCCCTTTCTTTCACCCTGAACCTCACTATTAGTAATTACATTCTCTTGATATTCTCATAGAAGATGTTTTCTCAAAAACATCTTCTGTCACTCTTGTTCCAAGGAACATTATCTGTTGCTGGGGCTATATGCCTTTCTAATGGTCTCATTGCCTTTAGTGTCCTGGTACAATCTGTTCTTTCCAAAGCAGCTAAGAGTAGAGTGGTACATAAATCTGATTATGTCACTTCTCTGTTTAAAACCTTTGAATGGTTCCCCCATGGCTTCAGAATAGAATCTAAACTTTATTCTTATTTCCAAGGCTTTTTTTTTTTTTTTTTTTTTTTTTTTTTAAGTTTGGCTGTGACTCCCAAACTCAAGGGTTCTGACTCTGCTTTGAGTTACTTCTCAAACTTCATCTTTTCCTGCTTCAAACAGGGACAGCTCAGTTTTGCGTATTGGAATTCACTGTAATATTTCATTTGAAAAAGAAAGGTTCCAGTTTGTTTTTTTTCTTTTTTAAAAAAAAGGTCAGAGAGAAGATTCCATTAAAAGAAAAAAAAAATTGAAAAGTCATAATTCAAAACAGTCCAATAAGCTATTGCATGCACAGGTGCGCTCTCGCTGGCTCGCGCTCTCTTTTTTTTTTTTTTTTTTTTTTTTTGGTGCTTGGAATTGAACCCAGGTCCTTGTGCATGCAAAGCAAGCACCGTACCATCTGAGCTATATCCCCAGCCCTTCTTCCATATCTCTTACCATGAAGTTTTATATGTTAAATTTGATGTGTGTAATTATAGAGATGCCTAGAGAGCACCCAAATCCCAACATGTAAAATTCCTAACATAAAAATAAATAGCAATAGGACTACAAATTTAAATGTTAATATGAAATACTGGAATATTTAGGAAGCTATATTCTTATGAGAGATCATCGTAAAACAATCTAGAAACCATAAAAGTAATTGCAGATGTATTTGTCTATACAAAACAAAACTGTAAAAGATACATGATGGATTGGAGGAATATTTCCAATAGAAGTGACAGATTCAGAATTAATACCCTTAATGCACAGAGAATTCCTATAAGTTGATAACTACGATAATGCAGTCATTTTCACATAACAGCAGGAATAACATTCTGAAAAAATGTGTTGATAGGCAGTTTTGTCATATGAACATCATAGAATGTGCTTAGACAACTAAGAAAAGACCTATGATGCCACTAGACTGTATTTTACGGGACTACTCTGGTATATGCTATTCGTTGTTGATTGAAGCATTGGTGAGCTCTACATGCCTGGAATCATTCACTGTATTTAATACTTGCTCTGCTAGGTGTTGTTTCAGACACTTTTTAAGCATTACCTCTTTTAATCCTCACAATTTACTCTAGAGGATAAGTAATACTTTCTCTGTTTCACAGCTAAATAAACAGGCTCAGACGGATAAAGTAACTTGCCTGTGTCACACAATAGATGATTGGGCTGTGAGTCCCAAACTCAAAAGTGTTCTGACTCTTGAGTCTGTGCTTTGAATTATGTTCTTCTGCATTTCTATAAGCATATGAAAGAGGATCAAAGTGGTCCATGAGATGTAAATCAAAACAAGGTACCATTTGTGATATCAATCAAATGGCAAAATTTAACAGCACTGACATATGTACAGTGCTGGCAAAATTAGTATATATGAAAACTTTTGTACATTGTTGATGGGAATGTGTATTGTTCCAATCTTTTTAAAAGGTTATTTGATTATCAATTAGAATTTGAAAATATACACTTTTTAACCCAGCACTCCTACTTTGAAGACTACCACAGAACTAAAAGTTCTAAGATATAAGGATATCATACAGGAAGTTTACTGCAATGTGACCTGTGGTGCAGAAAACTGGAAAATATTTGAAAGTCTATCAAAGGGGAATGGCCCAATCAGTTACAGAACAGCTATGTATACTCTGGAGTGGTTAAAGTGAATGAAGTCACATCTCCAGCTGTTAATCTGTGGTATGTTTATGATGTATTTCTTAAGCAAAAAGAAAATTAGAAAATGTGTATCATGATAACATGCATTTTATGAAAACAAAAGCCTACAAATGTGCCTAGGTGAATAAAAGAAAAACGGAAGAGCATCAGGTTAAAATTGAAGGATTTGGAGAAACTCAGTACTTAATATATATATTGTGGTAGGAAACACATTTTTTTTCCTTTCAAGAAAAAGTTTACTGAGTTATAAGAAATAATTTAAATATAATTTTAAAGCAATGAATTGCTAATAACTTTTTCAAATTAGAATATGCTAATAGAAGAACAATAATCAAAAAAAGGGGGACCACAAAGAGTAATGAAGTCTTTTATATTCAGAGTTACCTTTTGAAGATTCTTGGATTCCAGGTGACTAGTCTTCAACCTTTGGATAGGACGCTCCCTACAACGGAGGAAGGGCTGATCATTAGTGTGCCATATCCTGGCATTGTCTCCCTGTATCTCTTGTTTCTCAAGTTGAATACATTTCCCAGCATCTTTGCCACTTAGATATAACCCACTGTATTGGGATATTCCAAAGACAGAATCAGTAGGAGATATATATGTATATCTGATGGGAGGTAGATATAGATAGATAAAATATAGGTATATGAGATTTATTAGGGGAA